GTTCGTCGGTCAAGGCTTGTTCCCCGATGGACATGATGAGACTCTTCCTGATGATGAGGAGGAAGATGAGGATGACAGGTTGTCAATGGTGGCCCTGGAAACAGAGCTTCAGAAGTACCTTCATGAAGATTGAAAACCGAGTTAAAAGGGAGTGGCATCCCGACCATCCGTCCAACCTTTCATGTGCTGTAGTGCGAAGAGGACATGAAGTGCAAAATGAAGAAATGGAGGCTTTTCTTAGTCCGAAGACATAATCATACACTACCGTCCAGACAGTAGTCTTTTAGAGACCAATGGACTTTTATCTTTATACATTATATACAGCTTGGTACCAAGTTTAATGAATATCATTATGAAGATGTTGATCAAAATGTCCTTGTTTGACATATAAGTCATTTCTCATAGCAAAACAAAGCAAAACCATCATGATGTATGTTTTTTTTCCCTTTTAATTGTATTTGTTTAATTTATTCTTCAAATTTACAAACAGGTGAGGCATTAAAACATAGTAATGGTTAAATGGGATCCAGCTTTGCCACCCAAACCGACAAGTGATCCTTGACCTTGAGTTGTTTGCCTCAGAGGAACCACACAGAGAACTGGATGGAAGTTAAAGGGAATTGTTTTACTGATTTAACTTCTGTGTCTGTTTTATGTTGGTGATTTTTATGTGTTTTTATCTATACTTCTAAGTATATTTACAATATTTTATCTATTTATTTTTATACATTAATAAATATTTGACCACAAATGTTATTCCTTTTTAAATAATTAAAGGCTCATCTGTTGATCAGAATTGTAAAATGTTTAATTAATTTCTGTCATGCTAACACTGATAACCTACTTGAATTTCTTTGTACAGCCGTTTGTATTCAATTTATAATATTGGAGTACCAGATGGCTTTGCCTGACTGCTTCTAACTGCAGATATCCAGATATCAAATGCTTTATGTCTCCTTAAGCTCAAATACTGGGCTTGCCCTTTGTCTCTGTATCAGTTAAAGGATGGTAAGCTCACGAGCCCTTGCTCTGAACCCCAGGGTTTCACTTGGAGATCATCAATAAATTACCATTTAAATAGAAGATATATTCTATATAAAAAAAGTTTTCAATCACTTCAATGTCATCTGACCCAGTGTTTCCAAATATATATATATATATATATATGTCAGATATAATTACTACATTAGAAAAATAAGACACACTTATTTCTATTGAATTTTAGGATATTTGTTTTAATAATTTCATGAAAAATCCACAATTTAAATCTCAGAATTGTTTAATATTCCATATCATGAGCTCTAATGACTTAAAACCAATGCAACATTGTATTACTACAATGCTATTGGAAATATCATGTTTAAAAAGTAACACATCGGTATTAACACGATTAACATGTTGGATATTTTTTCTGGTAAAATCGTTAATGGTCAGCGTTCGTTTAAATAGAAAAGGATTCAAAGTCTGATTCCCAATGTATTCGGTAATTTACAGGCAAGCAGAGCACAGCGGAACCTTTGTCTTCCACCCTCTGTTCAGGTTTAAAGACGGACGTTTACAAACGACGGACAAGCATGGGTACCCGATTTGCTGCGAGTCAGGTAAATCAGCTTCAAATTCCAATTCTTCTATTAAAGCAACTTAAAATAATATTGTTACTTTGTGAAGCTTTTACACAATTAGCCGCGTTGATAAACCATGTGGAAGACAGCACTGAAAGTCCACACATTTCCGCTATAACCTTCATGTTTGCTAACGTATGCTAATGACAACAGCCTGTTTATTAGCATATACTCTGTTTACGTATCTTCTCTACAGCAATAACAGGGGTTATTATTCTGTTCGGACTATTCATCATAATTCTACTACAAGAAATAAAACAGGGACATATCGTAACAGCGTATAGTGTGTGTGAGGGCCCAACCAGATGCATTTCATTTCATTGTATTTAAATACAACTACGTTTTAGTGTACATAACAGTACACTTGAACTTATAATCATGGTTTTATTTTCTACAGGTTCTTCGGTGGACTTTGAGGAATGCCACCCACTCTGTATTCGGCCCACTTCAGTTTGGGAGATGCCAGCTCCAGCCTCTGTGTGCTGGGGGCAGATTGTTGTGTTCCTCCACCAGCCAGGGCACTCTCCAGTCACCACAACACACCCATGAGCCCCATCCTCTGTCCAGGCAGCCGGTCACAGAGCTGTCCCTCTCCTCTCTGGTTGATATGGGATTCACAGACTCCCAGGCAGAGCAGATATACGATGCCACCTCCAAAGTCAGAGGAACAAGTGCTTCCAAACAAGCTCTGTCCACTCTCACAGCTATGTTCGTCTTGGGCCTCAATCCTTCCAGTGCGCTGAAAATTCTGGAGAAATGCCCTGAACTTTACACTATCAACGAATTGCAGCTTCAGCAGCGCATAGGAAACATGCGGAAACTAGGTTTAGTTGAAGGTGAGATCATGATCTTTTTTGTCATAACATTGTTGAAGAATTGCTTTTGGTTGACATACGTCATATTGGGGGCTTTTGAAAGATAATCAAACATCTACTTTTCCTTATTTCCCATTAGGCAGTCTTCAGAGAGTGGTGTCCCATTTCCCCCAGATCCTGACTGTTCCTGTGAAGACAGTAAAACATATGGTGCTGTTCCTCAGGGAGAAGTGCCAGTTTACTTCCCAGCAGGTCACAGACATCCTGAGAGATAGTCCTGCCGTAATACTGGAAGACAAGGAGCAGCTGGAGTACAAGTTTCAGGTCAGTATTTATGGGCAAAACAGAATTTGAAGACATAACCATTGGCTTTGCACAAATTATGATGGGCCTTATAATCCAGTGACTGTTAAATCCGCATTCACTCTGATAAAAACAGAACATATAAATTGTAAGACACAATTAAATCAATTATGTAGAGACAGGCAACAGGTACAATAGTAAACAGCCAATGTATTGACTTCTACAAAACCTGACCAAACATCACATGAAAGGCTGCAGAAGTAAAATAAACAATACCCTTGTTCACACAGATTGTATAATTCAAACTAGACAATAATGACATGCTGGGTGTTTCTCAATCTCGAGTACGCTTGCTTGGTAGCACATGTCTTCCGAGTCACTTGCTTCAGAAGCGAGGCAAGAATCCTTCCTGGCATTCGGAAAACAAAGAGTGGAACAGGCTAGCAAGTGTGTTGGTGTGCGTCATATGAGAGGCCCCGCCTTACATTTTACGCCACAGATTTGGGGAAATTGCTCCGTGCGCAAAGCATTGTGGGGATTTTAAGACCGCGGAGTCTACACATGTGCAGCCCATGGTGCAGCCTCGAAATTTCTGCAAACAAAGTACGTCAGGCTCGGTAGAATTCCAAGTATGCTGGACATTGGAACAGTACTTCAGCAGCTCTCGATGACGTAGTATGCTTGAAATAGTGGCTCTGGAGCAGCTTTACTCGAGATATATAGCCTACAGTATAGAATACATCTACATATTTTATTGTTATGCCCCAACAGGAAATGCCGTGACAGATGTTAGTCGCTCATTTACATTTTACAAACGGAAAACATTTCCCCCCCCAAATATTTCCTATTTTAAAAGTGTTTACAAAGTGTTCCTGTAGCTTTTTCATCATCATCATCATCCATAAATTCACTTTTTTTTTCAGCTGCAGGATTTCTCATCCATTTAATGCATTATGGGAGAATAGTGTCCATCCATTGTTACAGCACACTCAAAACCAAATCTGATCCTTTTTTTGTGTGTGAACAAAATTCAATCTTAAAATCGCTTAGTAGTTAGGACACTGAAGTATAGTACTCATAATTAAACTCCACATCTCCTGGGCAACAGTGGCTGTGAATGAATCTCAATGTTATTAAAGTGGTTTGTGAATTCGCTGTCTTTACAGAATGAAATCAAAGCTTATGTTGTGCTTTCATATTAAGTCTCAAGAAAACAGAAACAAAACACAACTATAATATAAGGAATCAAAACCTAATTTAGCCGCAAATAATCGGATTTATGCCAAATAGCCATATGTTTGTTGAGTTACTTGTTCCTCTTTTGATTTGAGTACAATGTACACACTACAATACACACACATGCACAGGACACAACCTATACACAGTAGGTCTGAATACATATACATATAAAGACTGAGCCACTGCCGCCCCTTATAACAGCTGTTTGTTGTTTTTAACAGCATGTATCAACTCATCTCTCCACAGTATGTCTACTACCGAATGGGGGTCAAACAGGCGGACATGGTGAAGTCCAGGTTGTTCCGTTACACTCTGGAGGAGGTGCGCTGTCGACACTGTTTTCTGGAGCGCAGGGGCCTGTATCAAACCCCCGACAAGAAGGGACAGACCATGATCATCAACTCCAAACTGGACGGCATCCTCAAAATTGACCTGGACACTTTCCTCACGGATGTTGCCAACGGTTCAGCAGAGGAGTACGAGGTGTTTCAGAGACTGATGGCGAGAGAATGGCAGGAGGAGGAGCAGCTGCAGGGGAGCATTGAAGCTGGTAGTGATGATGAAGAAGAAGACGAGGAGGATGAAGAAGATGATGAGGAGAATAGCGGGAAAAGTGCATACAAGAAGAGAAGAAAGAGATGACAGAACACTGTGGGAGGGGGAAAACCCATTTAAAGAGGAAGTTAGATGAATAGAGAAATGATATATCTGATAATGATACATGAACCAATAAAATGTTCCCTTTTATCAGGTTGATGACTTCGGGTTTGTAATGAGGTACTATAGAAAATTCTTATCTAAAACACACATGGAAACAATGTTGTGGTTATTGTTACATAGCTTGTTCTCTTTTGAATGTACCCACCACTGAACCCTGCAGCTTAAAGTTGCTAAAGGGCTGAAAGACTAGACTATGTTAAAAATAGTTACAACTCTTGTGTGTGAACATTTTCTATCATATATCCGTTCCTTAAGTGGCCCCACAAAGCAATTGTTCAGGCTTAATTGCCTTGATGCTTAATGTGAATCTTAACAATATAATCTACTCGGTTCTCAAATCATATTAAGCTATATCAGATATGAAACATCCTAGGTAGAAATCCCTGATAATGTGCCAGCATGAGGGGCAGCTAACAGTATGAAAGCTCCACCCTGTTACTATGTGACTGCCAAGTGGTTTTCGCTTTCTCCATCCTTGTATTATCTAGGAGTAAACAGAGTGGAGCAGATAAGGCCAGCGGGTGAGAGGAGTCATACAAAGCATCTATTGATTTATAGAAGAGCGAAGCCCAATGGATGTGCAACACCGAGAGGTTTTTCTGGTCTGGAAATCAGGTAGGAAAACGTACCTTTACTCAATCAATAATTTGTTTATGTGTGTGTCTGAACAAGTGAATTTCTGTTTTATCTCAAGGGATGGCAGTGGTACGGTTATCATGATTATATTGTTAAAAAATATGATTTTGTGTGTATTTAACTACGTACGACGTTGGGCCAAAAAAGGAAATACATGATATATACAAGTAAATAAAGATCGGCCCAGTGTTATTGAGTGATCCATGTCTTCATAGTAACAAAAGGCAAGTTGACTGTTTTAGTCGTTAAGATTGTACAAGTGACGAAGCTGATGATTTAGACAACAGGATGATTTTTTTGCGTATATTTTTCTAAAGTAAACGTAGTAATTTTTCAAAGTAATTTTTTCACAGAGAGAATTGTTGACAACATTTGCATTTGTTTTCGCAACATAAAAGTCAATGGGCAGTCTGTTACTGTGTCCTCATGTTTGAATGATGGCTTCTCATGTTCCTAATGCAAAGCAGTGCACGCGTTAACACAACAGCAATACAACAAGATGGCTCTTTCCACGCAATAAAATACATTATTTTAAGATCAAAGTTCATACATTTGAGTTTTTACACTCCTTAATCTGGTGAACCACTAATAGTAGTGCATACACAATGATAACCTTACATAGAATAGTCTCTATACTACCTATACTATACTGCCTGAACATTGATATTATTTTTGGTTCTTTTCATCACCAGAAAGTTGCTGGAGGAAGTAGTCAACACACCCCCCCCCCCCCCCCCTCAGTCACAGCATCTGTGCCTGCATCTATCAAAAGATAATGGCGTCAGCATTGATCATTTCCAACCTCACACAGGAATGGCTGGAGAGTCTGCGGCAGTGGCACCTAGAGTACTTTTTCATCCCCACCACAGTGATCACTGTTGCCACCTTGCTAGCCAACCCTGTTCTCGTGTCATGCATTTTCCAGTCTCGAGCCTTGCGTCAGGAGACACGTTACCTGCTGGTGGCCAACACCCTGACAGCAGACATACTCTACCTCATCCTCAACATGGCCACCATCATCTGTAACGCTGTGAGAGTTCCAATCCCCTGGCTTGTTTGTGAGCTGGTCACAGCCATCACTGTCACCACCTACTGCTGTGCCATCCTCACCGTCACCCTCATGGTGGTCGACACCTACGTTGCAGTTCGCTGGCCTCTCCGTTATCATGATGTTCTTCCACCTGCCCGCACCCACCGCATACTGGTGGGGGTGTGGGTGCTGGCGGCTCTGTACCCTTTCACCCTGCTGATCATGATGGAGATGGAGAAGGGGAATCCCCATGAGGTTGCTTTTTGTCTGGCCCTCATCTCCCTCGGCTTTTTTCAGGTCAATAACTTGGAGGGGGTCCACATCTACTTCTTTGTAGCTGCACTCATCTGTGCTTTACTTATTTTCGTGTGCTACATTCAGCTCTACATGGTAACAAGGACGTATGGTATTTGGCACAGCCGCTTCTCCAGGGCCCGGGTCACGCTGCTAGCTCACGGGGTTCTGCTCCTGCTCTACTTTGCCCCCGGCTTTGTTTTCACCCTGGAGCTCTTCCTTTTCCAGGAGAAAGCCATAAGTCAGGATGTTCGTGTGTGGATCAGCACTGTCAATATGTCTGTTTTCATGTTGCTGCCCAGGGCTTTTGCTCCATACCTGTACGGGCTGAGGTACAGGGAGATCTCTAAAACTTTAATGCAGCTGCTGCACCCGCACCAGAGACTTGGCCAGACCACAGTTTCTTGAAGACATCACCAACTTTACATTTTTCAAATTTCTCTAATGGATTTGGTTTAATATTCATATTTACTGTTTTCTCAAGTCCTACACAACAAACAAATATGTGTCTGCAAGGACAGTAGCCAGGATGAGTCTACATTTCTTATTTATTTTGACTAGCAAGCACTTTTTTTCCGCATGTCTTATATTAATTTAACATAATAATAGATTGTTGGTGTAAACTGTCTTCTGTTTCAAAACAATCAACAAATAAACACTATAATTCCTTCATTGTAACTAAGTTTTTGATAACAGTAGTCAAATAAAGCAATACAAAACAAAACAATTGGAACATAATCTCTTCCTCAGCTTGTTAAAATCCCCACATTCACAGAAACAATACATGAGCTACAGTCCTGGTTGTTCCCCTGTCCCTGTTTTCCATCACCTTTAACTGAAGCACCATCTTAATTCTTGTTTTTTCTTCTAAAAAAATACATATTATGGCTACACTAATTGTACACTGGAAACCCGACATTACTGCTGTTTGGATCAAAATAAAACAATGCTGAACTCCCTTGTTTTAAAACAATTGTGCGACCAAAATGTGTTCTTTATTATCATTATGTAGTTAAGAGCCATGTAGCACCGGACACTCAGCCTCAGCTTTATGGCCCTTCTGTGGTAACAATGCACTTAACTCCATTTGCTCTCAGTCATGTTTGTCTAAAACTGGATGTCCAAGACGATCATTAAAGGTCCCCTGTTATACTGTTTTTCATCAATATATTATAGGTCTCAGATATATACAAAACATGTCTCTGAAGTGTTTGGCTTGAAATACCAAACAGATCGTGCATTGCATCCCATAATCCCCTCTGTTTCAGCCCTGTTTCAAAAGTGCTGATTCTCTGTCTGTTACTTTAGATGAAAATAAGGAGCCACTCCCCACGCCCCTCTGAGAGATATTTGGTTAACAAGAACACAATGGTGCTCTAGGAGGAGATTCAGGTGATAAGGTGGGGGGGGTTACCTTGGTTGGTGATTGGCTAATGGTTACACAAGCCAAACAATCGTTATGGCCAAAATTTGATCAGCTCATTTTCAGACAGGTTTTTAACTTTTTATATAAATGGATCGGGACAAAAAGAGAGAGAATCTATTTTCCTGAAACATTCAGAATCTCTTTACACAGAGGGGACACATGTTTATGTATAAAAGACATGAACAAGTGGATTTTGCATAATATGTGCCCTTTAACACATGCCTGACTGACTGCCGGAACTAGAGAGGAGGGGAAAAAACTCCTTCTCTCACTTAGGAAGGTGGATGGTGATAAGTCAGACATCCTGGCTACAGGGCCTTATCTCTGTCTCTGCTGTGAGTCATCAGTAAATGGTACAATAACTCAACAGCAGAGGGACACAGTTGTCTGTCCACTGGGCTGCGTCACTGCTCTTACTGCAGCACATCTAACCATTTGATATCAAGCCATGGGCTCTCTTCACACTTTCTCTAAACACCTGCTCCTGGTGCTCATTGTCATCCTTTCTACATTAGATGGATCAAAATGACATTTGCTATTGTCTGCCATATTTGTATTAGTTTTCATTGCAGTTACATAGCTCTTATAATACAACATGCCTAATTATTTTCTGTATGGACTGATTAACCAGTTTTTGTATGGAGCTCCAACAAGCCGTTTAGGACAGAGAGTGAATACACAGAGATGCTGTATGAGAAACCAATGTGAGTTTGGAAAATTGCACAATATAAATCTATTCTAGTACACCTCAACAATGGAATTATGATCAGTAGAAATGGCCATGACATGGGACCTTTAACATCCTTGCGGTATTCTCTGATTGCATGGTTTTGTTGTGGTAGACTCATAAAGCAGAGGCATGTACTACGAAGATGGTTCAACTTAACCTGGATATGTTTGAGTTAGCCGGTTGGCCTAATCCAAAACATACATCTCGCTAAACTGTACTACGGCGCGGATTATCAAGTGGAACGCTCAAGCCAGCCGTGTCCTCTAGTTACGTGCGCGTTCACATGAAAGGGGTGGTATTTGGGGCATTCGACCAATCACAAACATGGACAAGCGTACTGACAGCGCAGCGTGTCATACTTCCTGAATGAAAAGTCAACTATAATTAGACAAATATGAAAACTTTAAACTTTAAACATCCATGACTTAAACACTTTATCCAGGATAAAAGCCACATAGCTGCACCTGCAAGGTGAATACAAGTGTTTGAATGCGTACAACATTAACAGGTTTATGATATCACTGCTTGGTCTAAGACACGAGTGGATCTGACTTTAATTACATTTGACTCGAGTGTTTCGTCAACTTAATGTGTTGCTTAAAATAATACTTCTGCATACAGTATGTGACACGGCAAGTGTTGCACGGCCAGATACGGCTCAAGAAGCTGACTCAGATAAGGAAATATATGATAGGCTACATTATGATGTGATATGCCGCGGACTGTATTACAATTACAGTCAGTATAAAGAAACGTTTTGCTGCAACCTGCTGCTGTCTGTGCGAATCTCAGAGAGTGGTGCGGGCGAGTATCAGAGTGGTGCGCCGAGTATCAGAGTGTTACCATGGTAGTAGTGGGAGAGGGAGGGGCTGCAGTGTGAGCGTTGGAAGCTCAAATCAAGCGACTCCCTGGCTGTGTATTTCTTGTTAAATATCAGATAAACTGCTACACATACGTGACTGGCGAGGCGGTGTGTGTGGTGGGGGGGCCAACAAATATATCAGGGTGGCCATGGCCCCCCCTGCTGGCGCCACTGCGTACGGGCTAATGCTGCCCGGGCAGCCCTTTTGCCCTTTTTGGCTGACCTGCTGCCCCTCTGGAGAGAGCAAGAGGCTTTCTGTTGTGGCCGAATCAACATGATAAGCCCATAATTAGTATTGTAGCGTCTCGCTGCGATAAAACACACATCAGCGCTGTCATCTGCCACCAGTCACGTGACTTTGTTTACAATCTGACAGCTGAAAGCAAAGGACAGCCCTTAGACGTGACATCCTGCTTCTATGAAGTTTGATAATGCCTGAATGTTTCCTGTTACTTACGACACAGATAGGACCGTGCGTGTCTATAAATACATATTGCTGTGTGTACATTTTATGGTGTACCCAAGCTGTATTTTCCATAAAGAATAATAATAATAATGTTTAAAGGGTTAAATCCCCTGGGCCCTACTCACATGTTTCAAAACTGTGTAAACTGGGTCGTTAATAACATCGTGCACACTTTCAGGGAACTCATTTGGGAGCTCTGAGAAATATGTTGCAACAGGGTAAGGAAGTTGTGACATCCTTTGTTCCAAACTGAGCTCCTCCTTCATCCACCTCACCTGAGAGAGAAAAGCAAGCATGCTGCGTTCCTGTTTTCACCGTCCTCAGGGTCACGTGACAGCTATGTTTGTTGTTTGCCACAAATACATGTTTTTTTTCCATTGGATATCGATATTACAACTATATGAATACATGTCCGTCAGTCTGGCATTATGTAATAATTATATAACAAAGTGTATTTAATGATGGTTGCCTTTAGAATACACTTTCAACGTAGTGTGTAAGTGTTCTTTATGCAGTCATGTTAAAAAACGCTATATAAGTCGTATTATTTTGCGTGTATCACTTCTTGTTGTGATCTTTTCCTCCACCGAAAGCTGAGTTTGTTTGCAAACAAAGGACAGCCACGTGGAAAACGAGAGGCGTTTGGGAATTGTGTTTTTTCTATGGCCAAAAAGTAAGCGACAACTAGTATTTGAACTCAATTACCCATGATGCACCGCCAGGACCAGCTGAGTGGGTGCAGTGGGCTGGATTTTTTTTCTGCCTGACAAGTATATATGGGTTCTGTGTTTACTGTTAGCTAGTTAGATCTTTTAGCTTTTGTCACCACCAGAAAGTCACAATGTCCCGTCTACTTTGTTTGCCATAACTGATCTGGCGGCATATATTGTAAAAGTTAGTGATACACTATTTCTCAAATACAGAGTTTTTATCCATACTTTTTTTGTTTTTGTTTTGTCCACTAACTGAAGAGGAAGCCTCATCTGGAAACATCTGCTCAAGGTAAACACTTTTCTCAAAGAAGCACGTTTTAATGAGTTAGTGAGTTCTGAATCTATAAGTATTTTTGGCTTTTCGGTTTAAGTTTTGTCCTGCTGAGTAAAGCTAGTGTTTTTGTTAATAAGTATGTTGTCAAGGGGTAACGGTCGGCAGGAGGCAAGTGTCCTTTGTCTAACCAGACGGAACAGTGTGTTCTTCCTCTAAGTTACCTGGAAAAATATTATACATATGCCTATATAGCCTAGATTTAACTTACTTATCTATAATTACTACTTAAATTAAGGTGCATACTGAGATAATTCAATGCTTTAATATATATTTAAAACAACAGAAACATGTATAATGTATTATTATCTTTTCCCTTGTCAATTTATCTTACTTTACATAGTTCACAGTAAATAGTTAGATTTAAAAATGTAACACTTTAAAATATGGTTATGTTTTTTTGTATGCTATTTTTAAATGTAATATTATTTTACGTAGCCTACTCTTCAATGGGTCTTAGTCACAGATTATTTTTTATTACAGTGTTTATTTTTTTGTTTTCTTTAACTCCATTAAAAAAAAGCCTTGCAAAATGTGTATCGTTCCTGAGGATAATGTCAAAGATCAGTCTTTTGAATTCTTTTTTATTCTATCTTTCCGCGTCACACACATCTGGATAAACCTGTACTCTGGTCTTCTTACATTACATTGCATTTAGCTGACGCTTTTATCCAAAGCGACTTACAATAAGTGCGTTCGACCAACAAAATACAAACTTGAAGAAAACAGAATTATATAAGTACATCAGGTTTCATAGAGCAAAAACATTTCAAGTGCTACTCAACTGGCTTTAGATAAGACAGTCCTTTATTAGTATATAAGTGCTTTGTTAATAGTTCTATCGCTCGAAGTGGAGTCGAAAGAGATGAGTTTTCAGTCTGCGCCGGAAGGTGTGTAAGCTTTCTGCTGTCCTGATGTCAATTCTTGACTTCAGGTAGGTGCTGCTGAAGGCATAACACACGTGAATAGTCTTCCTAGGCTGGGCCACAGTTAAAAATATCCTGCGATTAATGACCTCACAGGAGGAAAGGCCAGACCTGCTGCCAACTTTAACACCGGCAGAGAGTTTAATGTGTTGATGAGATATCTTCAGGAACTTGAGAATTGGATGTCCTAAATATACACCTTTTTTTAGTCTAACTAAAGTTAATGGAACACATTGGTTGTTTGCTAAGTAGAATAATCTCTAAGGTTACAGAAAAACATGACTTACGGTTATTAGTAGCATTGACGTTGCACAATGATTATGTAGTGGCTGATAGCTTCCCTTCCCCCGCTCTCTTTCAAAACAAACCTGACAGAAATATATGAGACGCTCAACCGTCCTCTTTCCTGCCTCTGTCTCTTTGTTGTTCCATCTCATGCAAGTTCATTGTGCTGCAGGGCACAACTGTTTCGCAGCATTGATGATATAATGTGACCGATTAACGGATTTATGGTTTCATTCCTTGAAACTACTTATTGCATTAAGCCGTTATGAAAGGCATATTAACACTATCCCATGGATATTTTTTTTGGAACACGTGATTTCTGCCTCTTGCTCTGTTGTTTGTTCACTCATGGTGAATGTTCTCAATTTGTACCACAGTGATCCAATTAGGTTTTATAACTTTCTAAATGTATGAGCTATCCTCTCCTACCACATCATAGAATGCCATTATAAAAACATATACTGATATTTTATGAAAATATGTTTGTTTTTTTAATAATACAGCACTTCTCCATCCTAAAGTTAAGTGAAGGCGTTCTGAGGTGGCAGCCATGGTGCTGATTCTGGGCAGAAGGATGACCAGGGAGGACTCTGGCATCAAAGATTCACCAGCTGTCAAACGCAAGGTGCAGTTAAACACTTTATGCTTCAATTTTACCTAATTAAAGTAAAAAACGATGTCAATCTTTATACATGTATGTTGTTGTTGTTGTGTCCCAAGGTATTTGAGGTTGACTCCAAAACTTCTGCCAGCCAGGATGTCTTGGACTTCTGTTCTGGCTCATCCCACTCAGACGGCATCCTGCAGGTTTTCAATGAGTTTCGTGACAGCCGCCTGTTCACCGATGTTGTCATCAGCGTGCAGGGCCGGGAGTTCCCCTGCCACCGCGCCGTGCTCTCTGCCTGCTCCTCCTACTTCAGAGCCATGTTCTGCAACGACCACCGGGAGAGCCGCGAGATGCTGGTCGAGATCAACGGCATCCTAGCCGAGGCGATGGACTCTTTCCTCACCTATGTTTACACCGGCCGCGCCAAGATCACCACAGAGAATGTCCAGTTCCTCTTTGAGACTTCCAGCCTCTTCCAGATCTACACACTGCGTGACGCCTGTGCCAAGTTTCTTGAAGATCAGCTGGACCCTTGCAACTGCCTGGGCATCCAGCACTTTGCAGATGCTCATTCCCTGAAGCAGCTAGCCAGCCGCTGCCGCAGTTACACCATGGCCAACTTCTCAGATGTGGCTCAGCATGAGGAGTTCCTCGACCTTCGCAAGGAAGAGTTGGAAGAGTACACTGCCAATGATGAGCTGTGTATCGGTAAGGAGGAGGTGGTGTTTGAGGCAGTGATGAGATGGGTGTACCACGGTGTGGAGCAGAGGAAGCCCATGCTGAAGGCCCTGCTGCACCATGTGCGGCTGCCCCTCCTGCACCCAAACTACTTTGTCCAGACAGTGGAAGGAGACCAGCTGATCCAGAACGCTCCAGAGTGCTACCAGCTTCTGCACGAGGCCAGACGCTATCATGTGCTCGGAAATGAAATGATGTCATCCAGAACTCGTCCACGCAGGTAACTAAAATGTTGTCCGACTAGTTATGAGGAAGGTTTCTATTTTACAATGTGAAACAGGCAATAATCCATGAATCTGTTTTTTCTGGGACGAACATTTTTGGTTTGTGGAAGTAGTATGACCTTTGAAGTTCTGACAGTGCTGTGGTGCAGTCACAGGAGTGATCAATGACTGTTATCTCTGCTTTGTTATGCACCAGTTCACAAAGAAAAAATACACGTTTTTTTTCCTTTCTGACAGCTAGGTGTCTCTTTGGGTTAGAACATCTCATGTTGACAGTGATGACAGAGGTCAGCGCGATGTCAGTGATGACAGAGGTCAGCGCGAGTTTAGAGAACTTGTCTTTTTAAGCACTTAGTAGGTCATTTATCCCCCATTGTATAGCAAGAGGTTACGATATGCTCATGAACTTGGTGCTCCCGGCAGTGTTGTTGTTACATCTATGTGTGTGAATGTGTGTGTGAGAGAAAGAGAGAGAGAAAAACAGACACCCAGACATACACAAAGACATAGACAAAGTGTTTTTGTACTGAACAGACAAGTCGTCAATTGAAGGAGTCGTTCTTTTGTTGCCTTGTTTTGTAATGGAAATGATAATGAGGGAGGCAGGGCATGTTCCTACATCGACGGGTTGGCTTGAAAAAAATGAAATAATGTGATGCAAGTTATGGTAAGGAAATGTTGAGTCTTGTTTTCATGCCAGCAGGGTAACTCACCTTGCCTATGTGTTCAGTTTACGCACCTGTTCTCTTATAACCTGTTTACCAAATGTTATTTTATTAACGGTGACTTTGGAGAGTGGCCATTTGGATTAACAATATAGTAGTTAGTAGATAAAGGACTAAAGTCAACGCTGACTAAAATCATTGAATAAGATACAAAATGGACCATATGGTACCCTGCAGTAAAACAAACAACAGTACAGCTGCCTTTGTGTGTTAGACAACTCACCACAGTGCCAGCTGTCAGTTATTCAGGCAGTGAGATGTGTATTTCAGGTGTATTGTGTCAGTAATAGTATCCAGGCAGATCTGTTCAAATCAGCCAGCCAATCAGTCCTCGCATTGGAAGCTTTGTTTGCCCTGAGGGCCAAATCTGCTCCTGCTCAAAACAGATGCCTGGTTCTCCCCTTTTTGTGTTTATCGGCGCCTTTATATTCTCTTGGCAAGCCTCAAGGATGTAATTAATAACATGAGCACGCATTGCATGTACTTAAACACACATAAAACAAAATGCTCGGGGACTGCCTCATAGAACACACGCACCTGAAACAAACAGCTCTCACCTGCGCCTGACCTATATCCCATGTGGGGTAAAGTATAAAAGTAAAATATACTTTTGTTTTACATTTGTACTTACAGTGGTTTCTAGAAAGTACTGGGATTCTTTATACAGTATCCGAAAAACAAAAGAAGCTGCAGTTAATTAGCTCCCCCTGGGAAATGCCGTCATATCCATGGCATGTGTTAAACTGCCAGAGAGGAAAGCTTTGTGATTTTGGAAATTCAGCTCAAGCCTAGCCCTTCGTGTGTTTTTGTTATATTGATTGATACTTTCATTGTTAATTGAACTTTGCCTTTAAGATAAGTGTAGCTGTTTCTTTGGAAGCCATGACTCTGTTCCTGCTCTGGTACAAATTTCATTTGAAATCCCTCCTAGTGGTGACATGTTTATTTGTCTTCATAACCTTTGTATAGGCCTCAAGATACACAGTGGTTTAATTATATGATATATATTCTTTAATCTGTACACTCGTGTAATGAACTTTTAATTTAACATGCTTGTCTTGCCTTTTTACAATAGTTGAAACTGTGTTGTTTTTCCCTTCCATCTCCACATTGTTCATGTTTTTCTCTCTGCCTCACCTTGTCTGCTTTCAGGTCGACTGGCTTTTCTGAGGTGATCGTGGTGGTGGGTGGTTGTGAGAGAGTGGGGGGCTTCAACCTGCCCTACACTGAATGCTATGAGCCAATCACAGGAGAGTGGAGATCACTGGCCAAACTACCTGAGTTTACCAAGTCAGAGTATGCTGTCTGCGCCCTTCGCAACGACATCCTGGTGTCAGGTAAGAACCCACTGTTTTTGTAATAACCATTCTATGGCATTCTCCTATCTGGGCATAAAATGAACACTGAGATACACATATACTGTATAACTATTAACTGTGGCAGTTGTCAAGTTACACGTTTGATCTGTTTTTTCTTAGCATGTTGTCTTTTATTTTAATATTTTTTAGAAATAATCATAACTCATAGTTTGTTTGTATTTGACAACAAATATTTTTGGCGATTTAAAATTCAGAATGTGCAGTTAATTTAAATCTCACCTTTGTTCAAATATTGTTACCCCAATTTCTTTATATTGTTATGGTGTTGGTTGTTACAAAACCCAGTAATAGTAAAATTGTGCAATTCCTAAATAGAACATTTCACAAGCACACTCTTAAGGCAGAAGGTCGGTGTCTTTCTTGGCTTGCCATCTGATTCCCGAGTGGAGTAGAAGGAAAGGGCCGGGGTGGCTGTTTGCCATGTGTTTTTTTTACAGTGACAGCATGTTTGAGTTGAAGGAAAATATGAGAGCAACATCTGGATGCAAACTCCAGGCTCAGTGCTGTGAGAGGCTTTATTTGGCCAACTCAGTATATTCCTTCGGGCCAATCATCAGGGTCACCACCTTTTTCATCCGTTCAGCAGCTTTATACGAACTGTATGGAACAACTTTACACTCCCTTTTGTTTTCAACTCCTGCAATAAGTTGTGCTGTTATTAGCCCGGAAAAAAACCTGAATCTCACTTATTGTACTGTCATTGCTCCCTGGCAAGGCTGCTGCAGTTTTGGAGCTTAGCATGCGCCAAGTGTGGCGTAAGCCTCCTTTGTTAAAAGATGCCTAGATTTAACAAGAAATTGGAATTACGTCCTTCGTATTTCCTGATGATGTCAGGGTGAAGGAAGTTCCTGAAGCCAAACATTGAGGTTGTGTATACAAGCTGCATGTTGGATAGAGGCCAAGGAGGCTTTGTTTTCTTTTGTACTTCTTTTTTTTGTGTGCAATAGTTACTGAGAATATGCATTGACAGTAACTGCTCATGCTCAGACATGTTTTGAATGAGCTACAAAACATTACTGGAGAATAACGGAGGTTAAAAGATAAAGAGGGGAGATAAGAATTAAAGGGATGAAAAGAGAAAAAAAAGTTCTCTCCTTACTCCAATAGTGTGCAAGTGTTTGCTTTTTTATGCTCTTAGTGTGCCAAGTCCTCGTGTGCTCTATCAATCTGCCCTCAAGCGCTGCCTGGAATAGTCAACATACCCTTTCCCCTTGTCTCCGTGTCTCACACACATCCATACTGTACACACAACTGCTTGATAGCATATTAGGATCTCCATTGACCCACTTCCTTCCTTTTATAACACATCACATATAATCCCCTTTTCTCAATTTTATTTTTATCTGGCACTCTCTCAATCACATTCCCACACACACATGGATTCTCTCTGTCTGCCTGTCTGCCCCTCTCCTCATATTGGGAAATGGTGCAAATACTTTGGAGAGCCTTCAGTCTCCAACACAGCTGCAGTTAGCTGTGGTCTTAAAGAGGATGTGGCTCAATTGAGCACAGTCAGCATGATTTCAATTATAATCTGATCTCACACAATAAATCAAGCTTGGTTAAAACCCCAGATTCATTTAATTAAATAAAGGTTAACCATGACATTAAACTTATTATTATTACTTACTTATTATAATTATTTACTCTTATTTGATAACCACTAATAAATTAAACGTTTTGTAAAAGGACAAGTAATAATGTATCATGGCCAAGTACATTTCTGACCCCCTTACCCAACAAGGCAATGAAAAAAAAAACATTCATGTTGAACCCTGAAATAAAATAAATGTTTCTGTTTGCTACACATTGAATGTACCACATATTTTCTTATCAGCTAATCAGCAGCAAATGCCTCACACATTACAGAGCGGTCCATGTCACAGGTAGCCTGACAACAGGAATGTGACAACATACTGAGCTGTAAGAATGAGTCAATCTCATAAATCTTTGTTGGACTTCCCAATAACACTGCTTCTTCTTCTAAGAACAGTGATTACGGAAGGACATATTTGTTGAGAAAGGACCGCCTACAGTACTACTTATTTTAATGATCTTTCCTTGTGTTCAAGGCTCTGTTTGAAGTTGTTCGTCCTTTGTCAATGAGTTTTATTTATGCAAATATTTGAAAACAGAAGCCTTGGGGGCAGCAGACTGTCTGTCTCTTGTACTATCCAGCAGATTATCGAGCAGACATTTGCGACTAACTTCCTTCCCATGGCTCCTTCTGTCTGTCTGCTACTGTGTAATTTGAATGGAGGCAACATTAACACAGGCCTACCACCTGTCCTCTCTGTCACTCAACTACAGAAAGAAAAAAACTGCTTTTTTGCATGTGAATACAAAAGAGGCCAAGAAGCCTTTTGTTTAAACCTGCAGGCTTTCTTTATGCCTTTATCTTTGCCCCATATAACCACCCACCAGTGTCAGGACAAAAAAAACACCCAATGGCAAGATGCAAACACAACAACAACAACAATGTGATGATGAATGGTTTTGCATTGTCTAGGACATATCATGTCTAAATTGATGTTGTTCAATAGGAAACTTTTCTTCTCTAAAGGGCAGCTTAAGGTTTTGACCTTAGGGGTGTTCTTATTAATTTTGATCATCTATATTCCATTGACTGATACCGCCACCATGTGATCAATTTAAGTCCCAGTGTGAAATAACACAGATTGTCACTGACTTCTTTGTTTATGTGCTTTAGTCTTGTTGGTTTCCATTCTACATCCTGCTCCAAGATTGTTTTCTTTTGAACTCAATGTTTCATAAAAACCATCAGATAACTGCTATCAGATCTAAAAATAGTGCATTCGTCTCAATCGTTCACTTACTCTTTAAATGGCTTTTACATAATGTTACATTTTCCTTTTCAACCTACATTTAAGGAAGTTTCCTTAGGTCTTGTCTGATTTACCTACATTTAGTCATGTCTTTGTCTGTCAGGGTTAAAAGTTAGCTTTTGTTGCCCTGTTTGGATTTTCCTTTGGTCTGTGAAGAACCAACAGACATGCATGCCAGAGAGAGACGGGTACATGTCAGGGCTATTGACTGGGTCACACTGTAAGCTATTTGAGTGCCTGTTAATATTATCTCTTCATCTTCTTAAGGTGCATGTTTACCCAGAGACAACAGGTGATAGTCAGTCAGACTGCAGTTGTAGAAATGCTGTGGCTCTATTTGGTACAAAAGGACCATCGTTTTTTTTAATCAATCAATCAACAACTTTATTAATCCCGCAAGGGGCAATTGGTTATGAGCAGCAGCTTATGTCATGTACACAGGCAGGAACATACAAGGAAGAAAACACACAGATACACCCGGGAGCACAGATGTGGATAATTCCAATTTACACGATAAATAGTTCAAAGCATCGCAATAATAAATAAATAAATAAATAAATAATCAAGTTAAAAGCTTTTTCAAGAATTTAAAAGTTTGAGTGCAGAAGGGATGAATGATTTAGAAAAGCGATTAGTCCTTTGAGCAGGTAGAGCATATCTTCGCCCTGATGGCAACAGACGAAATTCATGTGAAAGAACATGACCTGGAGAGTTAAGAATGCTCTCTGCTTTACGCTGAATCTGTTGGTTACAGAAGGAATTGAAGTCTCTCTGTTTCACGCCGATGATCTTGGAGCAGGTTTTAACAATGCTGTTCAGGCTGTCCCTGTCTTTCAGTGTAAGGCTATGGAACCAGCAGATAAAAGAAAAACAAATAAGGCTCTCAATGAATGCTTGGTAAAAACGACAAAGAATGAAGGGCCTGACAGAGAAAGAGTTCAGTTTGCGAAGAAGGTGCATTCTCTGCTGACCCCGCTTCACGATACACTCAGTATTCACATCAAATTTGAGGTGGTCATTGAAAATGGTGCCCAAGTATTTGTATGATGTGACAATTTCTACCTTGTCATTGTGTATGATGCACTCCTTAGGAACATCCTTGTGATGTCTAAAATCAATGATCAATTCCTGGGTTTTAGAGACATTTAAATCCAGAAAACTGTCATCACACCAGGAAATAAAATCGGCAAGAGCACCCTCGTGGCCTGATTCTGAGCCGCTAAGGAGGGACAAGAGGGCGGTATCATCAGAGAATTTAACCAAGTAGCTGTTGTCTTGCATGCTCCTGCATTTATCAGTGTACATTATAAAAAGTAGGGGCGAAAGAACGCATCCTTGAGGCGAGCCCGTGGAAGTGATGACAGAGTCAGAGAGGCGTCCATTGACAGACACCTTCTGCTCTCTATTAGTTAGAAAGTTTAAAATCCATAAAACAAGTTGATCGGGCAGTTTAAAATGACATAATAGGCTCTCCACCAGGAGATGCGGCTGCATTGTGTTAAATGCTGAAGAAAAGTCAGCAAACAAAAGCCTGGCATGGGCTTGTGGCTTTTCAAGGTGTTTGTGGAGGGTGTGCAGTATAAAAAGCTTTGCATCCTCTACGCCTCTCCCTGCCTGATACGCAAATTGTAGTGGATCAAGTTCACCACCTATTACTGACATGACAAGGCCTTTAACCATTTTTTCAAACATTTTCATTACCAATGACGTTAAAGCCACCGGTCTGAAGTCGTTTAGGACTTTAGGATGAGGCTTCTTAGGGATGGGAATTACAGTTGAGGATTTCCACATATCAGGAATTTGGCTATTCTCAAGTGACAGTTGGAATATATGCTGGAAAACACCACAGAGTTCGCTAGCACAATACTGGAGTGTCCGCCCACAAATATGGTCAGGACCTGGGGCCTTCCTAATATTGACTCGTTTTAAGAGATTCCTAACATCATCCTGTTCAATGACTATGTCTGAGATAGGTGAGAGAGACTCTCTAAGGGTTGAGGTGTTTATGGAGAAATCATTTTTCTCGAATCGAGAATAATCGTGTGTTTGCTATAGAAATGATGAACAAACCGAAAGTCCACACCTCTACATTCATTAGGAAACACAGATTAATGTTTAAGTGTGTCTTTAGTTTTAGTTTAGTTTATTTATTTATAGTGTCGTGGACAGTCCCCATCGATGAACTGTCACAAAAACAGTAAATGGTGCAGCTTTAGCCGACATGGCTAATTTCCAGCTGTTGTCCCCGGCCAGATGGTAATAGACACCCTTAAAATTACAATATATCACATAATATATAACAGCATTAGTTATAAGAAAATATATAAAATAAAATAAAAAGGAGGAAAGATAAGTAGATACCGGTGTGAGGATAAAAGAGAACAATAAACAACACACGTTACTATATACAGTACATGTCACATATAGCACATCACAATCACATAACAGAAACGAGGGGCAACATCCATGATCACAACATGTAACACAACATGTAACACAACATGTAACACTCACGCCATACTCAACACAGACTAGTGTGTGCAGGTGTCTATGCATATCTTAAATGTGCCAATCTTGGTTTGAACTCTCAAGACCCAAATTCAGATACATCATGTCCAGTTAGGAGATGAGTATAACTAAACACACAACGCTGGCTGTTAACCAAGAACAGTCCTGGTTTATTTTGAAACGTTTTATTATATTAGATCAACTGGATCACAAATGACAACAACAACAATCAGAGCTGTCTAGTGCTAAATGTTTTGTCCTGACTATTCACTGTCTTGCATTGGTTGTCCCTTGGTGCTTTCAGGTGGTCGTATCAACAGCAGGGACGTTTGGATGTATAACTCCCAGCTCAACCTGTGGATCAGAGTGGCTTCTCTTAACAAAGGCCGTTGGAGACACAAGATGGGCGTCCTACTGGGGAAGGTAAGCAGGAAGCCTAAATCTGGATCTATGCATCTCCATCCGGATGCATGGATACCTTAGCGTAGATGCCTGTGATGTAGGAAGTAATTCAGTTCAGATTTCACTCCTTAGCACCTTCATCAAACTAGATAACTATGTAGTATGTTATCAGGCTTTCTTGTATACCCAAAAGTAATCCTGCTTCTCATTTCCTACATGATATAGAGCGACTATGATTTATAGAAATTCTGAGCCATCAAAACTAGCCAGTCACAATTTAGGCAGTCTTCACTCACTTGAGGTTGTGATATTTGAACTCAGCACTAATCCGCGAAAACTGTTTCTACTCATCTGCTGTTACTATTTAAAGTCTCTAGTACAAAGCCAAGAGGACATTCTTGTTTGAGGGCAATGGAAGTTTAGTGGACGTGTGCCAGCACCTCACACTTCCAAGTTGAGGTCTATCTTAGTCTACTCATATCATAATCAATGTGGCTCTGCCATACTGTAAGCCTGGAGTGGCTATAGATAGCTGTAAGAAACCCTGATAACCCTGTAAACACACACTGGATTTGAATATACTTACTCTGTAAATATGTACAGTACAAGGCTCTTCCTTTTCCTACAGCATGCTGCATTCTATTTACAAGAAAGGAAACTCTAGTATTATTAGTTGGAATTACTGTATTTTTCACCTTAAATGTTAACCTCATGTTGTGTTTGCAAATGCTCTTAAACGAGTACTAGTCTGTTTTTATTGCATGGCATTCACTTCTGTCTTTAAAACGCGGTTGTCTGGACTATCTTTGTGTATAACAAATGTTGACCACTTGAAAAACAATGATGTGGGTACCTCACGCAAGATTTTGAACTGTAATTATCTATTATTATGGTTGCGTAAAGAAGAACGGCCGTTAATTTATTGTTTAATGCAGGCAGACAATTTCTATTGTTTTGTTTTAAAGCAAGCATGACCAGATGACTCACGCTCACACACACAAACTCATGTGTATGCTTTAGCTATCATCACGTGTACACACACACACACTTGTAAACACATAAAAAGAACACGGGCACAAGTACAATTATTCTTGGAAACCTTTGGGCTCTAACAGAACGTTATTTACTTTGTCAGAAAGAGCCTCATCTTTTGGGAATTCTGCAAATATATTTTAATAAAGATTGAAAGCTCTGCTTGTGGAAAATCTGTATTGGATTGTTCCAAACAATGCTTAGTTGCCTTGCCCCAGAAAGAACAAACACATGTGCGTGCATGTGCAAACTACACAAAGGTCCTCCACAACAATGAGGTAATCATCTGGGTCACACTCTGCCAGTCAGTGATTAACTCTGAAGTGAGTCATGTTAGAATCAAAACAAGATAGACCAAAATGAACTGCATCATTGTCAAAATGACCATGCGTCACTAACAACATAACAGAGGCAGCGATACATGTGTAGTGCTACACTGCATAAACACATTTGTATCCCTTCCTTAACAACACCTTCTTCTTATATTATTTTCTGCGACCACTCTCTGTATTTGTCCAACACGTGGCTCTGTCTTCTCCTTTTTCCTCTTCTCATATTGTCTTCTTTCTGTCTGTCACAGAGGTATTTTCCGTTGTATTCAACCTAGTTCTGTGCTATTGTCTCACCTCATGCCCTTCTTTATTTCATTATTCCTCTGAACTCTGTGGTAATCATTCCATTTAAGTTCTTTTTATCTTTTTTCCAGTTTGATCTGGAACGCTTTTGGTTATGTTTCCAGGTTATCTCAAAATCATAGGGTATCTTTTTTCACACCATTCTTCCTCCTCCTCCTCCTTCTCCTGAGTTTGTACACACTCATTTCCTCTTTTGATGTGCAGCACTTATGCTTCAGTTGGAATGGAGAAACAAGGCTGAGGGTTGTCAACAAGCCTGTATAACAGGGGTGCCCAACCAGTCGATCGCGATCGACCGGTCGATCGCGGGGAGATTCCCAGTCGATCGCGAGATGTGTCTAAAAATAGAACAACAATATTCTGTTTTATCGTTAATGTCCTATAACATAATCTTCCTGTGCCAGAATAATGCACTTGAACGCATCAAAGCTTTGTGATTGGCCGGCTAGACCCCATGTGTCGGGGCGTGGCTGGTCGGCAGTGGGCACTATTTCGCTGAGGTTGTCCGTGTCAACAGGAGTGACAGTCCGCACACACACAAGACCGCAATTATGGCAGAAGCAAAAAAGCCCAAAATATATAATTTTCACTCCGAGTGGGAGGATGATTATTTGTGTATCTATTCCAATTCAAAGTCCATCTGTCTCATCTGCAATGCGAGCGTGGCTTTATCGAAGAAGGGTAATTTAGGAGCGGCATTTCAAAACAGTGCACAAACGCTACGAGACGGAATTCCCTCCTAATTCTGCCCTACGCTCCAAAAGGGGAGGGGCCTGAAAGGACAGCTAAATGCACAGCAGTCCATTTTCACCAGGCCCAACAACAAGAGCAAGGCTGCTACCATAGCATCTTATCGTGCCGACGCGCTTTTGGGGGACAGTACAAATAACAGTAGCATTTCAACAGGTTTTTGATATAATAAAAACTCAAGTTAGATACCGTTATTAATCAGCTGTAAGTTTTAGTTTGTTTGAACTTATTCATTATAATTATTGTACAAAATGGTATAAGAATGCAAACTTAAATTGATTATAGTCTATTATCAATTCAGGTTAAGAAACTAGTGTTGCTTGCATCCTATTTTAAAGGCATTTATTTTTATAATCTACTAAAATGCAACAAAAAAAGGGTTTTATTCTATTAATTTTGTCTTTTTTATTGCACTTTGGCAGCAGATTCCTGTGTAGCTTCAGATCTGAGTTGTCTTATTACTATAGTAAGCCTAATTTTAATGGCAAAGAAAGGGTTCAGAGTCTTTTCTTTTTCCTGTGTCATATGTGGCAGCACTGTTCAATGTTTCTTGAAAACATTACCCACTGTAGTATGTGACGTGTGAATAAACTCCAACTCTGTATCAACAACACTGTTGTGTAACTTCAGTTAAATACTTGTATGTGTGTAGATTAGAAAGAGCAGGTAAGATAAAGGATCTGCAGTATTTTATGGAGTATTAATCGTACAAAAGTCAGTTTTATACAAGTAGAAGTGTGTATTTACCTGGTAGTTTACCTGGTCAGTAATGGCTACGTCTCTCTATTTGGACTGGTAGATCTCGGCAGACTGGCAACTTTAAAAGTAGCTCTCGGTTCAAAAAAGGTTGGGCACCCCTGCTGTATAAGGACCATGTATGCTTGTTCAAGCTTTCGTGCAAAGAACCTCAGTACTGGCTTGCACTAACTCATTATTCAAACAATTTGCATACTCAGTAGACAAATCGTATATTTTTGGTTTTTCATGCTCAAATATGCCCACGTTTATATCTTACCTTATGTGAAGACCTTAAATAACCTATATCTAGATATACCTTGTGACTACCTTAAAGTTAAACCTAAAGAGATAGCAGAACAAGATCACACACACTCCTCAGTTGTCTTGTTGGACTGGGCCTGTTTCCATGGAGTAGAACAAACAATCTGCTAAAATCAACCCATTTCAATTTGTCCAGTGAATGTAGAAACACAGAAACGTTCATGAAGGTGTTTTAATCTGTATCAATTGACAGTTTAAAAAGGGGGTAGTTCGATCAGTTAGCCCAGGTGTCGAATGCAAATATGCCATGTCCCTCATCCACTTCCGTGTTTTTGTTCCTTATTTTTTCCTCCATCTCTCTTTGTGTCTTTGTTCCTCTCTTCTCTCTCCGCCTCTCTCCTTTTCACCTCTGTACTTGTTTATGCTTCAGATTTTGTGGAGACAGGAACAGCCTGAAGGGTTTCTGTTGCATAACACTTGTCTGTTGATGAGCATTTGCTCTTGAAACATGATCTCCTTCCAGCCATTGAGGAAGTAGAAGTTTTACATACATCTTTTCCTTCCAGTTTTGTTCCTCCATCCTTCATGCCTCATGTTCACATTTTGCCATTCATTGCGCTCCAGGGGATAGTTTTACAAAGGCATTTGTTACTGTAGGCCTATATGAGTACATATCTTGCGTCAATACAATTCTCCAGATTGTGATGCTTTAACTTCCAGTAAGATGTGTGTTTTTGTTAGAGGCTCAGATCTCATTATCCAGTAAATGAAATGGGACCACATTTAATCAACCAACTTAGAACATTTAGTTTATAGACTGACTTTACAACGGGTTATCATTTTGAATTGTAAATTATAATGGGAATTAACAGAATATCACAGAATATCAATAACAGTTATCTTCCATCTACACCGGATAGACTGGTTCTCTATGTGCTGACGATGAAGCTATTGTTGATACTGTTGAACTAGTAAGCTATAATATAAACTCTCTTATACTGAAAGTGACGTGTTTATGTGGTGTATGTTCAAAAGTATATCACACCTAAACACAACTCATAACTTTTAATAATCATGCTCTGTGTGGTTCCCAGGCAGTCATTTCCACTCCGCTAATCTGAATGTGTGTCTTCCCTCAGGTATATGCTGTTGGTGGCTACGATGGGCAGAGCCGCCTGAGCAGTGTGGAGTGTTATGACTCCTTCTCTAACCGCTGGACTGAAGTGGCTCCCATGAAAGAGGCGGTCAGCTCTCCGGCCGTGGCCAGCTGTGCCGGCAAGCTGTTTGTCATAGGAGGAGGACCTGACGACGAGACCTGTTCAGACAAGGTGCGAAACAGATGTGTTCTGCCCCAACTACACACTTATGGCGCGTTTCCACTGCAGGCCTCGCTCGGTTTGGTTAGGCCTTATTAGCCTTTAGCTATTAGCTGCGCTTCCATTACAGTTTAGGAACTGGGGCAGTTACTATAGTAACGCAGTGTAGGCGGAGCCGTGACGTCATCTTCAATGAGAGCCCCAGAAAAACAACACAGCCGTTAGCTCTTAGCACTCAGAGCTCACAGCTCCTCATATCTGTTCAGAAACTAGACAAAAGTTAAACAAGTACAAACCACAGACTGCCTGTGTCATGGCGAATACAGTCGCTGGTTTATTTATGGCTGTATAGGCCGTTGTTGTGAGTGTGGACGGTCGGAGCATATATAACGTTAGCTTAGCCAAGCTACATTTAGAAAACACGCATTTTAAAAGGGTTTTTCGCCTGCCGTCTGTCTGCAGACTTGTCAAAGCATTAATTCATGGTTTTTACTAACCGGTATCAGTATGTTGTTACTTCGGCATCATTTTGAAACGTGTATTACAATTAAATCACGGTCAAATATGTTCATCTTGTTGTAGCCCCCTTTCCAGCGATTCTCTCTCTAGTTTAGCATACTCAGCCTGGTTGTTCCTGGCCCTAGAACCACGATTTAGTCGGGCCAGAAAAAGGTGAAAAAGTAGCCCCGGGCCAAAACTAGGCCAAGTGGAACCGCAACCAAAAACGGGCCCCGCACGGTTCGGCACGCTTAAAGCGAGCTACCCGCTGCAGTGGAAATGCGCCATTAGGCACACACTGATGACAAGTGAGGTAGGGTGAGTTGCCCTAATGTGGGACACGCCCTAATGTGGGACACCTAAGCTCAAATGGGTGTAGGTCTTCCGCAAACAAATGAGAGTCAATGAAACTACGGGTTAACACAAGCTGTGATGTCATGCGATCAAAATCACATGACTTCTCAAATATCCAATCACAGATGAGGGTGGAAAAACCTTTAAACAGGAAGTACCATGTGTGAAGACCACCCAATTGTCAATGACATAGCGTTTTGACACATTTAATGTTACGGTTTTAAATTTCGTATAAATAAAACAATCTTGCAAATTTTTATCAGGATGTGTTTATGATATGTTTGTTCATCAGAACATATTATAATATGGTGTAAATATACTCTACATTTCAATCAAATGTTCCATTGTCCCACTTTAGGAAACATGTTTCGCAAAGTGGGACAGTATGATTTGCCTAATGTGGGACAGGTCTAAAAGGGGCATGGATTGTGCAAGAGCAATGGTTATTTACAGGGCTTTAGTCTTCTAATGCAGTATTTTAGATATTTAAGGTGAAGGGCAAATCATATTAAATAATTGGGGGTGGCTGCATCTCTGTTAAAATGGTATGACAAAGTCAGAGATAATATTAGGGATTAATGTCTGAGTTTAAGAGATGGCAATTAATTTAAGCCCAAATATTCATAGTAATTTAATAAATCCTTCCAACACACATTGTAAAAAATAGCCTAAGTTAAGAAATCATTCCAATATGTGCTATAGGTCAGTAAAAAAAAAAACACACAGTGTAAAAGGGGAGTGATTAGTCGAATATGCATAAATAAAAAAGAAAGAATGTAGACTAAGATAAAGATAGGAGAGAGGAGTTTATCAAATATGTGTTATTGGTTGTGAGCATATTCTAATGGTTTTTGGATTATTGAAATATATACAGTTCTGTTTCATATGAGTGTTGAGAGCTGTATCCATAAATCTCTTAATTTTGCCCTCAAAGTGCATCAGATTGATGCATTTAACTTCAATTTAAAGAAAAACATCTTCTGTTGTAAAAACAATAACATTATAAATAGTAACATAGCTGAACATGGTATTGCACATTTAGCTTTGAGTGTTACTGAGATATTTTTATTACATGAATTAAGGTGACTGAGGCTTTTTAACATATACTTTTCAGTGTCCCACATTTTGCACAGAACTGTCCCACATTAGGAAAAGCAGATTGTCTGAGACAACTTGGCACTAAGAGTACTTATATGTCTACCATTTATTTTATGAGTGTAATATCTGCATTTTCTCTTTTGGTTTGATTAGGACACATCCTGGGGATTTCAGAATGGTACTTGATGTTGATTTATTGTATCGGCTTCATATCGCAAAATATTCCCGAAGTCTGAAATGCAAAAAATGTCCCACATTAGGGCAATTCACCCTACTTTTTGTCTCAACTTGCTAGTTTTCAGTTATTATACCTTGGAGATGCAGGTTATGTGGACTTTTCAGTGAGTAGTCTGAACAAGAATGACATGTTGGTCAAGAGAGGTATATACTAAACTGGGCAGTGCTACAGATGGGCCAACACATTATAAGCATTATTTCCTTACAGGCCTATCCCTGAAAGGAAAATGCTTAATAAAATAAAGCATCCTGAGTCACCAGTCATGACTAAACTTTTCTGAGGTAAAAACCAGGAATGACAGGCTTAACTGAAATAGTTTCATTATGTTTTGATTGACAGCCATGATGCTGATAATAAACAGGAAGAACGTTGAATTTGCTTCTATTGAGGTTAAGGTTCCTGTGTAATTTATGTATTCCTTGGAATAGCTGTTCTTGTATTTTCACGCCAGAGAACACACATCTACAGGCTGAAAAGAGTTGACCTAACATGGCTGACTATTTGTACCTGGCTCCACGTGGACTAGAGTTCATGCTGACTCAAAATCCCTAAAGCGACTTATCTCTGGAGTCTCCTAACAGCGTCATACCCATCGATCCAGTACTTTGTCTGTTGAAGTGTGTTGTTTGCTGCAGTCCGACACAAAGCTGTTTGGAAGTAGGCTATTTTCAAGTGATGTGGGTGAGAGAATGCTTGGATTGTATGCAAACCACACAGAGCCAAACTTATGTCAGCCCACAGAACAAACTAAAGAGAGTAAAACCACAGAAAGAGCTACAAATATTTCAGTTATTTCTGTGTCCCTTTCTTCTACCAGAATAAAACCCACCTAACTACATGTAACTAACTGTATGTCACAGGTTCAGTGCTATGATCCAGAGGCAGACTCTTGGTTACTGCGGGCCAACATCCCCATCGCTAAGCGTTGTATCACAGCAGTGTCCCTCAACAACATGATCTATGTGTGCGGTGGTCTCACCAAGTCCATCTTCTGCTACGACCCCATAGAGGACTACTGGATCCATGTGGTTCACACCTTCAGCAAACAGGTAACAGATTCAATGCAGATACTAAGAACTCCAGGAACAGACGGTTTTAACTCACCTCAAAGTATTCTTTAAGAGCCGCAACCTTACATTTCTGCCTCTCTTTTGCTTCAGGAGAGCTGTGGCATGTCAGTGTGCAACGGCAAGATCTTCATCCTTGGTGGGAGAGGGGAAAATGGCCTGACAAGCGACACCATCCTGTGTTACGACCCGTCATCGGGCATCATCACAGGAGTGGCCGCCATGCCACGGCCGATCTCCTACCATGGCTGTGTCACCATCCACCGCTACAATGACAAGTGCCGCAGGCCCTGACCATGAACAGGCAGAAACACAGAAACACACACTAAAGAACTTAAACCCTTCAAGTTCACTCTAAGCACAACACACACACACAAACACACGATAACATACTTGTTTATAACAGGCCCACTTTGTCCATTTTACCACTACCACACATTTATTTTCCCACAGCATCGTGTAGCAATACTTCTGGTTACTCATGGTGGTGCTGTGAATCTTTTGCAGTTGTGTATCAAAGTTAAATCCAATCTGTAGAAATTAACATGGGTTGATGAAGAGTTGTATATAACCTGAGCTAAAGTGGAGTCAGACCAACATGGCAGGTGTGCCTTGCATTAAGAGTAACTGCACATTGTTGGGAATTAACAGATCATAAATGATAGAAGTAAAGGCATTTGATTATCATAAAGGTAAAATAAATAGAAACAACTATTTTATTGAAAATGTTGTGAGTACATTTTAATTTGAGATTAATGTCTAATCCTAGGAATTGTGTTTCTGTGGTAAAACAATTATAAACTCAATTATTTAAGAAATAAAGTAAAGTCACTTATTTGCTTCCATAATTGCATTTTTGGTGGATTCAATTAATGGGCGACAATGTATTATAACATTATTCAGTTAATTAATAATCATTTATTTAATTACAATAGTGGTTACAAGTATTTTAACAGTTTGAAACTGATCTACCCCACCCTGTGCTTTTATTACTGTGCAAAGTAACCTCATCCTGAGATTTCTGATGAGCTGAATTTAACTCAGGTTGTGCTGATGAACAAAAACCCTAGGGCAAAAAAAAAATAAATTGCCCTGACAACAATGAGCCAAGAATTATCTACCTGCAGCAGAAGAAATATTTGTTGACTAACAAATCAAAGATCAAAGGCTTTATTTGTCATATGCACATAGTTTTGTCAAAGAAAATCTTGAGTCTCAAGCTCCTCCAATAGTGCAACATTCAATATTCTTAAAGGTCCCATGTCATGGCCATTTCTACTGATCATATTTCCATTGTTGAGGTCTACTAGAATAGATTTAAATTGTGCATTTGTTGTTGATTTGGGTGTTCACATGTCACAGAACCCAGGAAGCAAACAATGGAAAATTAGAAATCTCCAATGAGGCGTTCTGGGGCAGCATAGACAGGTCTTTTCTGTGTTAGAGCTTTACTCCCTACAGGTTGTACTTTGAGGGTTTTTGACTCTGCAGACCGTTTACATGCATAAAAACCTTCATAACACACAAGGGGACGGGTAATAACCGGAAAAGCATGACATGGGCCCTTTAACTAAGTTGGCCAGGTCAGATACTGTATAACCATGTACCCAATGCACTCCATGCAATCCTTCAGAACAGTAGGCCTACAGCATGGTATCGCACTCCCTTTTTTTAACTCCTTTCTTGATACTTAAAATGACCTTGATAAAAATGTGGTAAACAGTCAGTCAGCTGCTCTTCCACGGTATCAGTGGTTACAAGGTAAAGAGAAGAGATCAAATGTGGACACTGAACAAAAATATTGGAATACAGCCACTGTTGTCTCTGCCCTCTTGTTTCCTTGTTCACTTCCCGTGTGCATTTCCCTTCTCCTCCAGCTGTGTCATCACCTCAAACTTCGGTGTTTTCTTTTTTGTTTTTGCTCTATTTTAATTATTATTACATTCATTACAGACTGTTTTATTTTTTAAATTATCTTAAGTTATACTTGTTTGTTTTTTTTACAATTGGATTTTTACTGTATTTTGAGTAGCTTTAGTGTGTGTTTTTCATATCAATGTTTGTTCATTGATGTACTTGGTGTATGGGTGTTTTTTTTAGATGTGAGAAGCCTTTGTAGATCAAACTCAAAGACTGCTCTGAATAAGTGGTGTGCATGCTGGGTATGTGTGTGTGTATGTGACTTTTACGACTGAGTCTAAATGTGTAGGAGCCAAAAAGTATATCAATGAGTGTTAGTGTAAGCATCACACGACTAACACTGATGGTCACACTTCTCACCTCTGCACTTACATGTAAAGATGTAATTTGGGGTACCTGTAGGTATGTCAAAGTGTGCATGTGTGTATTTGTGTTTACTGGTAAGCTTAGGAGGTGTGTGTAGCAGTGCTGCACTCCACACAGGGAGAGGGTTAAGAGTTTTGAATGGGACGTGTTTTGAATGATGTGGCTCACGGTGAGTAAAAGTCACCTTTTACTATAGTAGGTGTTAATAGACAAGAGATATTGCTGTGAATATAACTTTATTATGTTTTCTTTGTGTATTTAAATGTGCCTCTTTTTTGGTTGCATATTACGTTTTCTCGTAACTGAGGGCCCCAATAGTGCACTTAAATGTAGAACCTTAAGCCAATGATTTCCTTTTTGTTTTACTGTATCAGTAAATGTTCTTTGCTTTCATGTGACGTATGTGAGAGACCAGAAGGGAACCTTTAAGCTCCTCTTGTTAGCCATTACCTGCTAAATCTCTGATGAAAAAACACAATAACTGCTACAATAGAACAATGTCAAGAGTCAATAAGAGATCTTTGGCTTTACATTGGAGGTTAAAAGGTTGGTTGTTTCTCACAATACAGAGAGTGTTCTTCCAACTGTCACAATGGCAAAAGCCATCCTCCAGGCGTTATCTCTAATGAGCGCAACATAAATATAGGTTGTAAAGAAACATTCTCAGGCCTGCCCACAGTCCTTAGGTAACTTAACTGTACTGAAGGGTGACTCCGGAGACAAGAGGACATTTGGGGGTAAGAATGTGGTAGCGCAAAAGAGTCAGAAGGAGTTAAACAAATGGTAAGTGAGGGAAATAATTTGAGTGTGTGTGCGTCACACATAACAACACTATATGTTGATTTATTGATTTTCATTATTTTCTATGTAGAGGCCTCTAAACATTGTTTACTTTGATAAGATTGTTCATTGTTCTTATCAATTGATCTGTGTTTCTTTCATTTTGATTGTTGTGGACAAGAGAAATATTTTGATTCCCACATGCAAAAATGGCATACCAACTCAAACCCCCAAAAGCGGACTGTTAAAGTTGAGTGATGTATTTTAATATGAATGTAGTTATAAACCAAAGTGGATTAGATTCAAGCACAAAGGTTACTTTGTTGTAAAATGGCAATGGATAAACAATGCTTGCATGCAAGGTGGGGGGCTTGAGTTTGTTGAATAATGCCCGATGTGCCTTAATTAAAAAGAATGACGAGTGGGGTATTTAATGATATCATTTTGATATAAATTGTCCTTATTGATGTATGATGTGATATTTTAACACCATTTATTCCTCAGACGCTCTTTGTTCAACTGCGAGAACGTTTTTGTAAACTGCATAATGTTGAAATGTAATGGTTGACTTGTGTAAGAGAAACATCAATAAAGTGTTTTCTTTCCGTATCACTACTTGTGTCCTGACCAGTTTTGTTCTGTATTTGAATGCGTTGTCAAATGATAATGGTAATGTAGATTATCTTCATGACAGCTTTCAATATTAAGCTAAGAGGGATGTCCTGATAATAGATTTTCTGTGAAAGAAATCAGAAGATCGAGATGAAAAACAGGATGTAATGAATGAAGTTGACACAACCATTTACTGAACATTTTCATTAGTATCAGCATATTGAACTTCACACCATAAACACGAGGGAGATAGAAATGAAGCAATTGTACTAAAGGTTTGAACCCACTGCACCACTTACTACACCGCAGATTTCAATAGAGACGTCAAATATGTTTTACCACCAACAGGAAATACAAAACTTACAATACAATACTGTCTTATCAAACTTTATGCAATCTGCTTCATATGGCTAATGCATCCTGTTTCATCAAGGGATGAATCAATCATGTTGGTGATCTGTTAATGAGCCATTGTGTTGAACAAGAAAACAGCACATAAAACCAGACATATTGTTTCAAGGTTTGAGCAACTTGTGTTACATAAAGGCCTTTGTGTTTGGTCTTATGTGTTGATTTATGTTCTCCTTATTATGGTTTGGTTCAATGAAAACCACAAAAATTCTTCTCACAGATTCCTATGTCTCTCAAATCACACTAAACAATATGGAAAGTATTTAGCGTTCATCAGTAGAGACTACTAACACACACTCACAGACAGGAAAACACTCTATTTCTTACTTGTGTCAGTTCATTAATCTATTAAATTCACATGGTAATTGCAGTATGCTACCCCCTTACTGTACATCCATACTCATCTTTAAAATCTACCCTGCTGAAAGAGAGGTTTAATTTTTACTTATTACAACAACAACAAAAATGTGCTCATTGCTTTACATACATGCTTTTTGAAATGCGTCAGAATGATGAATATTAATTGTTTTTTACCATCTAATACTCATGTATTGTGTGGCTCAAATGAAACCCATAGCTGTTTGGATAACAGGTTCACTTGTGGACTTAATTAAAGGAATGATAGTGAGGCCTAAAGCAATGATATAGGGACATGATGTGCCTTAACATCATGTCCCTATATAATTTAGGCCTCACTATGTGTGCCACCACTCCTGTGGAACTGATTCCCTTAAATGTACTCATCAGAAACTTGTTTCAGTTCATGTCAGGTGTTTTTCATAGCATGCTGTTTAACATTGCAGTCACACTTAAACATGTAAAGGCCTATATTTAGTAAGAATTTGCAGTCTTAATATACATATAGGGTCAATAGTCATTACCTACTCTCCTGGCGTAAAAGCAAGTATATGTTTGTAGACATATTTTGGCCATAGTCATGTGATTCCTTTTTGTATTTTCCATTGAATCAATCATGAAATAAAAAGATTACGATAGAGAAGTTCAATAATTATAGAGTTTATTGTGATTTGTTACATCTTGTAAAAAAGATGATTATATTGAACAATTATTTTCAACTAAATAACATAACCACCTAATAAATAGGGAGTTATGCATAGTTAAAAGAATCATGCAAACTATCAGATAAAAGCTTTAAAATATGCATGGAGGTGTAAGACTACTACCACTAGTGCCAATATAAGAGTGAATTAAAACTTCTATCCAGAAGTGCTAGGATTATTTAAAAAATGTTTTAATATATAATAACATAGTGAAAAAACTAAAGAGAGATTACAATGCATAATGTTTACATTGAGTGTGTTCCGACCGGTTCCGACCTTAGTGTCATCTGTTCTGTAGAATACTGGTCCCTGGTGGCTGCTTTGATGAAGTGCAAAGCTAACTGTCCACCACTTAGTTAGCTTACTTGTCCACCTCGAGATTTAGCAATTTACTAAACACAAGTGTGGAAATTGATATAGAATAACTCAAAGGATATGTTCCCACTGAATTAAAACACACGCCTCACACAGAGACGTTGCTCTGCAACACAGGGCGCTCCAGTAAGTTTGCATTTCAAATTGATTAAATCGGTGTCTACAAATGTGTGCTAACGTTAGCTAAATTAGCAAACAAAGATAGCGTTTGTTTAACGTAACGGGGCTACCGGCTACACGAAAGACAGGCACGGATTTATGCAAATACACAGTTTGTTAGACAGACTGGTGGCCTAACGTTTAATGTGTTCGTCAATATAACTTGGTTCATTGAAGGCTATGGTTGCGCTGCTAATGTTAGCTGTGTGCATTAGCCTCACTGCTAGCCGGCTAATTTGATGCTAACTACCATCACAAATCCCAATCTTAAAGATTGTATTGTCATATACACAGCTACAGTGTAGTTATGCAATGGAAGTCTTGGGTCACTGGTTCCTCAAACAATGCACTTTACATAATACAAGAGTAACAAGACAAAAAACAAAGTACCATCACAACTGGCTGTGATATAATATTGATGTGACTAGCTTGCATTAGCTGTTTATATATGCATGTTTGCTAATATATTCTTCTTTACAGGCAGCAATGTCAGGGATTAAAAGGAAAATAGAAGACAATGACCCCGATTATGATGACATTTCGCTGTTCCAAAACAGTAAGAGAAACAAAGCAGTTGAACATAATGGTAAGTTCATGATCTGAACCCTATCACAGTACATGTTGTGACAGCTTACAAGTTACTGTACTTATTGATCCCGGCTCTTTAATTTGTGTTACTCCTTCAGCCCGAGAAGCAGCGGTACAGAAGATTGAAACCATCATCAGAGAGCAGTTTTCTTTAGAGATGAAGAACAAAGAGCATGAGATAGATGTGATAAGCCAGGTATCTGAATGACTGGAAAAGTATATTTTATTATTTTCATTATACTATAATGTACTTTGTATCAGTGATGAGGACATACAGATGGTCACTTACATTTTGAGTTGTATGCTCACAGTTTAAAGAAGAGCATTTTGGTTATTTGCTTTTCACTATGTTGTAGCGACTCAATGAAGCCAGGAGGATGATGGACAAGCTAAGGGCATGCATAGTGGCCAATTACTATGCCAGCGCTGGAATAATAAAGCACCCAGAGGTAAGTTAAGATATGTTCATATATTGACAGCTGCTCTAAGCCAGTGGTAAAGAACAGTGGCAGCAACCACCATTTCTTCTGTGTCCTAGCATGCTTCTAAGAGTGACCCTGCCATGCTGAACCATCCAGCCATCCGCCGGTTCCTAGAGTCCCCATCCCGGTCCTCTTCCCCTCTCAATCAGGGCTCTGAGACTCAGTCTCTGGTCCAGTCAGAGTCCGAGTCCCTCTCACAACAAGGAGAGGGAGCTGAGAGGGAAGGAGAGGGAGCATGGAGAGAGGCTGGCAGCAGGCAGGACCGCAGACCAGGGCGCAATACCGGCAAGGTGAGTTCAACCGATCAAGCAGACCGCGTTATTGGTTATGTGATAAAGAGAAAAAATGGTAACAGCATTAATCTTGCATTTTTATTATCTTTCATAAATCCTTAATGTTCTCCATTTGTTGTTGTAGGACACATTTGGTGTGCCATTGTCTTCAGGAGCTGAGCAGAGGGTTACATACCACCCTACCGGAAATGAAGCCTCAAGACTGTATGCAAAAAAGACAATTGTTGTGGGGAATGTTTCCAGGTATGTAACTAAACTAAGCAAACGTTTGACTCACTTAGTTTCTCAGGAAGTTGTCAAACTGTTTATATGATGAAAAGACACATTGGTAAATCCTTCAACTCTAACCTTTGTTTCTTTAATAAGGTCATAGTTTTCAGATCATAAATGGAGAAACATGTACCTACTGATCACAATTATGTGTTTAAAGTTTATATACTAATATCACTTAAAATACAAAGCAACAAAAAAATTGTTCTGGTTGCTCACATTTGTAAACTAGTCAATTCCAGGTGAATGCAAGATCCTCTCGGAGTCAAACGGGTCAACCATCAAAAAAAGAAAGCCGAGTCAAAGATAAAGCTAAAATGGCTTTTGTTTCTGTCGTCAGCAAAGTGGCTTGTCTTAGCCTCTTTGGAGGGATGTGTAAAGTAAAACCTATAAATAATTTAAAAGGCATACATTGATTTAAGATTTTAGCAGGTATCTTTGACAACAACAAATGTACAACCTATAACTGTTTTTGTAAATGGGTGATGCAACTGCCATATATTTTAAAATCACATAAAAAAAGAAATGGAAAAACAGGCATCACAGGAAGCAACTCTGCATGGTGGTGGGAACCTATTGACCAGACTACAGGTGAACTGTGCACTAGAGGGGTTGTTATTTCAAATGAGTAATTGCCCCTGTATAATTGGCATGTATCTCCATCACAAGCACGTTTAAAGACTATTTGTTGAATTTGAATCTGTTACAGTGAATAGTTAAGTTAGAAAAATGTAACCTGTTAAAGACAGTTAATAACAAATAAATGTGATTACATTTGTTTGAATGTACCTCTAATGTCAACTTATTAATCATTTCATGTATTTCATTCCCTGGCAGGTTCTATTTGGATCCGCTTCGATTCCACAATTCATTGATTGTTGTCTTTCACTCTCAGGTACATTCCCCCAGATAAGCGGGAAGAAAATGACCAGTCGACCCACAAGTGGATGGTGTACGTCAGAGGCTCCAGGAGGGAACCCAGCATCGACCACTTTGTAAAGAAAGTCTGGTTCTTCTTGCATCCCAGCTACAAACCCAACGACCTAGTGGAAGTCAGGTTTGTGTGTGTTTGTTTTTCCACATATTTGAGACAAAGTGAGTAAGCACTCCTTAGTCATGTGCACATTTTCTGATAAAGGCAGGGCTCCTCTGTTGTTACACAAATTAGCACTTGGGTGCTGTTTCATGTGGACAAAAGACAATTTAAGTCAGAGAGATAGGAACAAAGTTTCTTTAAATAAGATTCACGTGTTTTGTTGCCCACAGAGACAGTGTTTACTTCTAAATGCATATTATTATTTTTAGGTTTGTCGTTTTCCTCATCTCTTTTGCCGAAGAACGAAGAAAGGAAACTCTTCTGAATAATAGCACCTTGATGCAACATTCAATTAAATACAGGAGTGCATAAACAGTCAACTGTTGTTCATTCACAGTGTGTGACTCTGACTCAGTAGTAAACAGACTGTTGTTTGAATCCTTTGATAAACAGCGTCCCCTTGTGGAAATGTAATGAAGCAGCCAGGTTAGTCCCTGTCAATCCTAGCTGAAGTGAAACATAATGTTTGTGTATTTTAGTGATATTTACTCCAGCTAAATATTGCCAGCGGTTAGTATTTATGCAACCTCAGAAAAGAAATAATCATGCAGATTATACACACATCATTAGGTGTTGTCGATTACGTTATTTAGCACACCATGAGTCAGACTAGAAGTCAACACTGAGATGACTCAGAATGGTCACACCTACACCATTTAGTAAGAACAACATGCGTGTTAAGGTGTATACTTTAGCCCAACGCACTTTGGTGTGTAGAGTATTATGGCACGCACAGTTCATTTAGGAGTCATCTAGAAAAACGGAATTTCCCCTCAGGGATTAATTAATAAAGGTGTTCTGAGTCTTCATCTTAAAGGAACAGAAGAATAGCTTTCTTTTTGGTTCAGCTGTCTCATTTAAGTATTCATCCTCTAAAAGTGGCAAAGGATTTAAGTTTGCCTGTGGCTTTTGAAAAAATGGTCTCTTTCATCAGTCAGCAATCCTCACCCTGAGCCGTAGCCTCCTGGCTGTTTCAGCTGACAAGGCAATCACGTTGCCGTGGCAGCCGCTCATAAACCCCCCTTGACTGACTCATGTCTTCATTTACACTGAACCCCACACGGGCCCTGTGCCTTCTGCTGACTCTATACTGTGAACATGAAGGGATGAATCAAAGTTAAAAAAAAAAGAAGCATTCCCCATTGTGTATTCTTGAATAGACACAACAATATACATGCACATACACATGCCCTTGTTATTGCAGGCAGTCAGATCAGAGTCTGTTTGGGGATGAAAACCTCAAGCTTCAAAGGAGAGAAGATGAGAGACCTTCAAGGCATTGATTTTAAGAGATTATTAAGAGTCAGAAACCATGATGGGAGCTTGTTTTTAGTTTTTGTTCTCATTGGGCTGAATCCTTCACATTTCTTTTCCCTTCCAAAGCTGATTTTCACAACTTTTTTGAAACTGTGTTCTCAGTGAGGCTCCCTTTCATTTAACACGTCGCGGCTGGGGGGAGTTCCCTGTGAGGATCCAGATCCACTTCAATGACCCGCGCAACAAACGTATCGACATCATCCACCAGCTAAAGGTCAGACCACATCAGGAACCACATCGCTTTTTCAGGCGGAGACACAGTATTAATACACATGTCGTTTCAACTGAGATACTTCCCTGGTTGATTATTAGTGATCAATGTTTAATCAAGGTGGCCTTCTTGACCTGTTTTATTAGTGCTGACTCAGCACATGGAACTTGGCATGAACTTGTATGATATATGGGACGTACAACTTTGGGATTCTTAGTCTTTGATTGACGTCATTATAATCAGAAAGCTTCTTCATTGTATTGTACTTTCCAGCTATAAATAGAGATTAAAACTCCATTATTCAAGTATCTACCTCTACTTTACACTTTAACTCCATAAAAGTTAGTACTTCCAACAATCTTTTTCTATTTCCTGCAGCTGGACAGAACATACACTGGGCTGCAGACACTCGGAGCAGAGACTGTAAGTTATTCATATTTACTCTGTTCCCTGCAGTGACTTCTTTTCTCTGAGCTTCCCTCTGACAGTGAGCTATATGTATTGCAGGTGGTTGATGTGGAGCTCCATAGGAACTCTCTTGGGGAGGACTTCATCCCTCAGCCCTCTTCCTCCAAGGTGACTCACAGAGCAGCCAGCCCCCCAATGGGCGCCTCCCTGCCCCAGAGTTATGGACGCTCCAGTTCTCCAGTCCCACACGATGCCAGTGTGGATAAAGGTACGCACACAGAAACATTGAAGAAAAGTGAAGGGGCCCTTTTGACTTCTTGACCCCTAGTAACACTGGGGAGCAATATTTCACAAGTGTGTCCCATTTTGTTTTTGTCTCACATGAAAACCCACATAGACAAGCAGTCCTGATGCTGCTTTGAAGCGGCTTTGTTGTGGTACAAAAAGAAACACACCTTTGCAAAAGTAAAGGCATTAAGAACATGACTGCTGGCTAGCAGTTCTAGATTCAAGCAATGCTGGATTTTAAATCGGCTTTGCGAATGTTTTACGAGCAATATCTTTAATGCATTATTGAACATGTTTGTTAAAGGTAAGTTTGAGAAACCGGCTCGAGATACACTTTTTGTTATATTCCATGGAATGCTCTTAACATCCCGATAGCAATGAATATCTTAAGTGCTTTGACAAAAAATGTCATCAGTGGAAGCCGTAGTATTGTAAAAATCACGACCAAAAAGCCCGGCTAAAATAACTGGATGGCCGACCTGCCTGTCAGCCTTCCATCTGTGCACAAACTTATCTCGTGCCCTCATTGGTCATGTGCGTGTTCGTGTGTGTTGGAGGAGGGGCTCTGTGAGGAAGTGGCAGATTTTTTCCGGTTGTGTATTTTCAAATTCTAGCGCACTCGAGCTGGTTTCTCCAAAATGACCTACCCCACCTTTAAGCCTCAAGGATACACATAAATCGATTTGGTGAGAAACTGAATGTGAACATAACAAATGTTATCTACAAACTCCACAGACTAACTTTATCATCTCCATCTGCCTGTTGGTGGATATTGGACTGTTGTAGACACTCTCCACACCCACTCTCTATAGGTTGCATATCTTAACTCCAGTTGGGATTGAAATGGACTATAAATTAAAAAAAACCTCTCTTCTAGGTTTCATCAAAGCGGAGATGGGCAGGTCTGCAGGCGGCCATAGCTCCGGCCTCACCGCTGGTGAACGCACCCCAACCCGACCCAAAGTTGCAGACAGGATCACACTGGGTACCCATGGCAACTCTGCCTTCCAGCCCATCACTGCCAGCTGTAAGATTGTCCCTCAAGGACAGACGCCAAGTCCTGCTGAGTCTCCGGGGAAATCGTTCCAACCAATCACCATGAGCTGTAAAATAGTTTCAGGTAAATGTCTCCACCCAGTGGCCATATGACAAAGTTAATTAAGATATTTGTACAGCCTAACATGTCGCATAACAACCTAATTTGAGTTTTTATGCTGAGAAAGTACCAATACCATCAGGAGACGCTGACAGAAAACACTTCACTGTCTTGATATTAGGCTTGTTAGAGTAACCATATTCACACGACTGATCCGTCTCATGTATTTCGCACAATTTGCTCCTGGCATTGATGCTTATTCTTCACTCGGTGGATTTATTTCAAATGGAACTCTTGAGAGATCAAGACTTGAGTTCCACTAGTTCCAAATTTGCTGTTCAATCTGTATCCTTAAATCTAAACCAGTTTCACTTTAACAAAATGAATTGGGTCACCGTCTAGCAGTGACGCAAGGATCCTCACCAGTGGCACCAAGAGGAAATGAATAGGCATCATTTCCATGTTCATTTGATTTGTTATTAACATCCCAAATATTCATCTCATAGCCTGTGAACTCTCTCCCCCACAGGTTCTCCCATCTCCACCCCGAGCCACTCCCCACTGCCTCGCACCCCCATCACCTCCACCCCTGTCCACAGCAAGCAGGGCTCTTCATCAGTCCTCAATAACCCTTACATCATTGTTGACAAGCCCGGCCAGGTGATCGGCATGGCTTCCTCATCCGCCGCCTCCACAGGTACACACCTCCCACTCGCTGCCGCTTGAAATCGGAAGTGGACCTGCAGCGAAATAGTGGAGCGGTGTCTGAGCCCCCCACACAGGATATCAAAATGTACTTTAGAGCAGAACACATGAAGAACCCTCATGGCTCTCCCTTACTCTTTGTCTGTTTCTCTCTTTATTTCTTGCTTGTCCTCTTTCCTTTTATGTCTTTCTCTTTTTCTGTGTCTCTCTCTCTTGTTCTCGTTTTGCACTCAAACTATGACGTGTGGTGAGCCAGCAGGAGGGTTGCTGGATGAGAGGTTACCATGGCGACTGGGCTGATGGGTTTCATGGCCAGATTTTAAGGATGAGACCCATCGCTCACGTCAAGTTCAGTATTTGTTTGTGTATCTGTATTTCCGCATAAACAAGATGATGCAAAGTGCAATTTGTCCGATGAATGCCATTGTGCTCTCTATTCGTGTTTCACCCCATTACGGAGTTACATCCTCAAGGCTTTTGCATTTACTTCCTCATCAGAAACTCCGTTCATATGCTACTTAGAAGCTCTTTACCCCAGATTGCTCACTCTTTCTCGCCCACTCAGCCAATCCCACTCCTCCTCCACAAATGCACAGTGCCAATAAGAAATGTTTTATCAAGCTGGATGATGTGGGTGTTGTGGCTGATTCACCAATCCTGGGAGAAAACAGATTTAATGCAGTAGGCATGAGACACAACTTGGCTGGTCGGTTTCAACACCCCCGATGAGTAACCCTGACAGGGAACTGTCACCTCGCCACACGAGGCCCGTGATATCTGTGGAAAGGATGGCAGGAACTGCAGTGAACCATCACCTGTGCACTCATCTCCTCCATGACTTATTCTGTGTGTTAATGTGTTCTGCAGGAAGCCCCTCAGCCAAACAGTCTGTGGCCCAAGGCGCTCGCTCTCCAGCCCCCAAACTTCACTCCGGCACCTTCCTCTCATCAGGGGTGAAGGTGAGTTGGTCAATGGTGTCACGCTTTAACAAAGCTAAAACGTCTCTGTTCCAAAAAATGTGCCGGTCTGTCCCTGTGGTATCTGTTTCTTTAAGGGAGGTATTAATAGTAGGACAGAGCTATCTTCGGCAGATGTGAGTGCCTTGGCAAGCTATTTAAATGGGACATCACTCTAAAGATAGGAGGGGGTGTGGGGAGCTTTGCAGGGAGAATTGCCTGGTTCTGTTTCGCTCGCTGTCAATACCCCGCTGTAAAATCCTCCCACTCCCACATGCTCATTATCCCGTCACAACCTTTAAAGAATTAAATATAATTTCCCTTAAAAATTCATTTTGATCACAGAGATTGCTCAGAAATGACATTCTTCTCTGTCATAGGCTCCTGCTGTGGTACTAAAGGCCAGGGCCGATAGGAACAGATGGAGAATACAAAAAAATGTTCTTGATGAATAAATGATGATACTGATTTTCAAAAATATGTTTTAGGAAACATATCTCCTCACTGCTCTGCGTCTGTTGCCTTTAGGGAAAGAATAAGGGGGTCGTGATTTTACAAATGGTTTCATGAATCACTAAATGATCCTTTTTGGTTCGATAACAGCTACTACATCTATAACTGGTTTTGGTTTTAGGGCTGTTTTATTCCTTTGCTTCTTGTTCACTCAATGTTTTTGCAGGTTATTATTAAGCAGGAGCCAGGGGAAGTTTCGACACAGCAGCAGCAGATGGTTTCCACAGTAACCAGCCAGCAGCAGCCTGCCGCTACAGCAGCACACCAGTTTGTCGCAGTGAAGGGAGGTCACATGATCTCCATGTCGGCCCAGAAACAAACAGGAGGGGCCACGGGGACCACAACTGGCAAGGTCGGACCCTTGCATATACACACACACGATCACATGTCAATCATTTCTATATTAATAGTGATATGCAACAGTAACATTTTCTTCAAAACTTTTCTTTTGTTTCTAGATGTTAGGCATCCCAGTTAGCTCTACGCTCCAGTCTGCAGTCAAACAGGTAGCTATCAGCAGTGGACAAATTCTGGTCGCCAAAGGCAACCCTTCTGTATCCAAGGTGATGGGTGGGAAGCAGGTTTTGGCTCAGGGTCTCGCTAAAGCCATCGTCAGCGGAGCCAGTGGCCTCTCTGGACAGCAGGCGGCTGCCAAGGCGACCGGGGGGTCAAGTGGCAAGAGTGGAGGTCAGAGTTCACACACACACAGAGCAGGTCCATGTGACACTAAATCCTTGAAACAGTTGGATTTAAAGTCCCTGGATATCGAATGAACTGCTTGAAATAGTAATTAATAATAAGTAATACATCTCTATCTGACTGAATAGATTGCTCTTTAGATAAAGAAATAAAACAAGTCTGATAATGGCTTTTGCTTTTCAGACAACGTTGGTCTTAAGAATCACAATTAATGTACAATTATCATAACAATAAAAATAAAATAGCATATACACATTTAATTGAGTTTGAAACAAAGTCACTATTGCGCAGCAAATTATAATTACAATTTTTGGGGGCATACACAACTAAATAAAAATATATATGATGAAATAACAAACAAAAAGTCAAATTTGAAAGACTAAAAAAAGAAAGAATTATGAGGTGAAATAATTTTGGACTCAATGGTACTGCGTCTGTAGTGAGAACATACACACAGACGCCTGTAGTAAACATACACTTTTACTTGGACAGAAGTCACATTTATGTTTAGCCAAAGACATTTTATTCATATTTTTACATGTGCAATATTGTTTTCTTTTTCTCTGCTGTCCTTAGTGATGGCTACTCTTCAGCTGCCAGCCAACAACCTGGCTAATCTGGCCAACCTGCCTCCAGGCACCAAGCTCTACCTGACCACCAACAGTAAGAACCCGTCGGGGAAGGGGAAGCTGCTCCTCATCCCACAGGGAGCCATCCTGCGAGCCTCCAGCGCAGGTGAGACATGCTATAATGACCCTTGAAATGCAGACATTGGCTAAAGAACTCTGTTAATAGTTATTTACCAACGCCCTCTGCTGCTGCTGCTCGATTCTAGTTTTCAGTCACTTACTTATTAACACACTCCTGTCCAGCTCTTGGGAGCTGTTCAGGACCAGGGAAATATTCTCTTTCACTTTTAGTAGAATGTCTTTTTGAAGTTGCCACCTTCTAAAATACAAATCTGTGACACGCAGCAAAATGCATAACATAACCAAGCAGATATTGTATTATTTAGAAATAATACCACCTCCACTTTAAAAAGTTGGGGCTTAGGTTATATAGTAAGGAATTTCTAAGTGAGTTAAGAAAGCCTGAACATAGTTGCTATTTCAGCTGTTGTTTTGCACAACTCATTACTTCTTATAATATATTGCTCTCCTTCTGTGTCTTTTACATGGAAGTTTGAAATTGGTAGCTTTGGGAATTTTCTGGGATGAATTAGTATTGAATTAATATCTGGGGTTAACATCCGGACTAAATGACTTAAGCCCTGACTTTTCCTCTGTGCCTTAATTTGTAGAAAGCTGTCATAAAAATGTTACTGGTGTCAGTTATTATCAGGGTTCATACGGTCATTAAAAACCTGGAAAAGTCAAAATGCTAATTCCAGGCCCTGGAAAAGTCATGAAAATGTAACTAAAGTTGCATCAAATATAATTTATATTTTATCTAATCGCCGAAATAGTAATACTATAATGATAATAAATACTGTAAGTTATTTGTTTTACAACATGTTTCATATGCAGACCTTATTTTCCTGTTCCATGTTATAATAAACCATTTTCAGTGGTACCGCTAGGAAAGAGTCATTTTTTTTGGTCATGGAAAATTAGGTAAAGGTCATGGAAAAGTCATGGAAAATCCTTGGTGAAAAAGTGTATGAACCCTGTATTATACATTTTGGGAAAAGTAAGAAACCCACTTCTCTAAGATGTGAAGCATGCTGGTGGCAGTTACAGCGTGTGGCTGCTACACTTCCTTCTGGACAGTGAGTCAGCCCTAGTCATCTTTTTCTCTCTGCTGTTTATTGAATGCATTCTGCGAGCCACAATCCCTCACACGGCACACTTTCTGTCAAATCGCAATGAGATTAAAGAGATTAAGCAGCGCCCTGTATGTCATTCTAAAAAATGTCACAGTACAGCTCTGCTCAGAATCATCTGTCCCGGTACAATAATACTTTTTGTAAATAACACAAATGATTGAATAGAGGATGAGCTGCAGTTATGGATGAAGAATAACAGGATTGTGCATCAGATTTTGGGCTGATGTGTATGTGGCTGAATGTAATTTAGGTCAGCAGTCCCAGAGCAGCTCATCGACGGGCGCTGGGGGCTCTCAGACCTCCTCCTCCTCCTCTTCATCATCCAGCAGTCTGCCTTCCAACCTCTCCTACACGTCCTACATCCTCAAACAGACCCCACAGGTGGGTGGAAATGCTCTAAAACAAACCTTAGAGAGATGCTTACTCTGGCATAAACAACATCTATTTTGATGTCTTTTCTTTTGTTGTGGATTCTGAATTATTTTTTTTTGTATTTATGTTCTGGCATATTTTGAGCAGAGTTTGAACTGCTTCATTAAAATCTGAAGGAAACTGAAGTTGATTTGCACATTCAGTATTCATCACCACAGATCTTATATTTGATGTCTTTATGGCACGGCAGGACTTGCATGCACAGTCTGCAGAGAGCTTTCTTTCCCTCTGTGAATCCTGATTTTTGTATCCTAGTATGGAGGTTGAGCCTGATGTGTTCCTAATGAGAGACATTCATTATAGCAGCATTGATCCTGCAGTCAGCTTTAGAACACTGCTGGCTGTGCATTTAGCCAGCAGAATACAATGAAGTTGCCAGAAAAGGTTTCCACTTACATTTAAAGTAACAAATCTGGACTATGTTTCCTAATAATGATCAATCTTCAGGGTTAAAAGTGTTTTCTAGGTGTGATATCTACAAGTGTTCAGATACACACAAACACACACACTCCAGTTAAGAGCTAAAAGGATAATGCATTGATTTTTTGGAAGGCTAGTTTAATTTCCTGTAAGCTTTTAGGGTAGTTGATGTCATAGATGCATTTTAGATGCTAGGAATCGTCATCCCCTGCACATTATGAAAATGTACCCTTATTGACTGCACAGTATAAATGGGGTTACATGTTTATCTTAGCTTTAAGACTGGTTCATAAAAGACTAACTAAAAGTGTGTTAGTGCTGAGTGGGTCACATTAACACCATGACAATGCCTTGACTTTGAATGCAAAGTGATATGATGTTGGATTTCTACCCATTCCCTAACTCTGCGTATCCACAGGGCACGTTTCTGGTGGGCCAGCCAGCACAGGGTTCAGGGAAGCAGGGGGGTTCCAGTTCAGCAGGCCATGCAGCATCATCTCCAGCAAATGTTACCCAGCAGGCCATCCGGGTGACAGCGGGACAGAAGGCTGCTATCCTGGCTCAGGTCAGTAAGGCTAATGAAACTGAGCGCAGCACTGATCCTCCACAATGTCTGATCCTAAGGGAAGCTGCTGTACTCACTACTTATTCACAATTCTTATAATAAGACCATTATAATTTGATTACTTTTTAAAAAACATTTTATTCTGTATGATTTGAGTTTTTTATGAATTGTCTTAAACGTGCATTAACCCTATCACACACTGTAGGATATTAACATGCACATTTTATCTGACCCTTTTATGGATGACTTTACATTAAAACCTTACTTTTTTGCCTTGTAAAAATATCTTACTGCTGGTTCCAGAATTCTGGTATTAGAAGTAGCACTCCCACTGTGCTAATTCATCTTTTGCCACTTTACTTGCTTCCTCTCCATTTAATTATGTTCACTGTTGTGGATTGGAATTGAATGGCAGCTCCTGTTCAACATTGTGATTGTAATGATTGACAGGTGGTGGGCGGCTCCCAGGGTGCCCAGGTGAAGTTGTCCGACGGCTCTGTTAAGACGGTCACCGCGGCAGCAGCAGGCCACTTGTCCAAGCCCGGGACGACCACACTGAGGATGACAGGCGGAGTCATCACTGCCGCCTCCTCCACCCCCGGCCCCGTCAGCGCCGCAGCAGCCGGTCAACAACAGGCTAGTTCCCCAGTCGTCATATTCTTCCATTTTATTCTGTCTGACAGTTGCTTCTTTTTCAAAGTCATTGCAAACCAAAGGGCTGTTACCTTCAAAATGTTAGATGTTTTTTTTTGTTTATGCTGGCAAACTGGTTGTTTATGTTTCCAATAACTTAGATATTGGTACATTTCCACCAAATCCAGTTTGATTTAAAACATTTGATATATTTCCCACAAAAATAATCGTTATGAAAGTTTTTTTTCGGTGAACAGGGAATTTATTTCATTGTGATGAAGGATGCTATTGCAGATGAATAGACCGAGTTCATACAATGTACTTTTTATGCTTTTACACAAGTGAGAGATACATGTTCTAGTGGTTTTCCACTGCAATTGAAATAGATGGATAACAGGAGTGACACAGTGTGAGTGCAGTAGCAAGGAGTGTTGTATTTGTCAGTTAGTTGAGATGTGTGAAGAGCCCTGCACGGTACATCAGCATTGGTGTGTTTGGGTGATTATGACTTCAGAGTCTGTGGCCAGGCCTCATTAACTCGGAGAATGGAAAGACACACAAATACTTCTTACGGCCCGTCCACACAGCGGCGTGCGTTGAAGCTTCCAACGCTTCTGCCCATTCACTTTGAATGGGGTGACGTCACTTTTAGCCGAACTGCATTTTGGGAAGTGACGTGGAGCGTTGCTGGTGTAGCTGGCGTAAAAAGTTGAGCAATGTTCAACTTTTGACGCCTCGACGGAGGCGTCAGCCAATGAAATCCCGTTTATGCAAATCTGCCAGTATAAGCACTAGCCAATAAAACCGCGTGTATGCTGGGATAGACTACGCAGGTCATTTCCTCATATTCAAAAAAATGTAATTCATTATAGCGGTAGTGAATCACCCGGTGCTGTATCATTCTCTGTTCATCTACCGGGATACAAACCGGAGGAGCGAGGCATGGAGGGAGGTGGCAGAGACAGTGGATGAAACTGGTAGGTTTTCGCCTGTTTGGGGATTTTATATCCAGTTTACTTCGTTTTAACATTGCTATTGCTTTGTATGTCGGGGGCGGGAGATTCATGTGGTTGGTTGTTGGTCGCGTTGCTCGCAAAAAACCCCCAAGCTTCAGACACGCCCAGCTTCAAGCGTCAACGCACGCTGCTGTGTGGACGCTCCGTAAGAGGCTCCAACAAGCAAAATAAAATATGTAACAGTATGATACAGAGAAAAACACTAAATGCCCAGAAGATGTTGACGCAAATACAAAAGAGGGGTACATCACTGCTGTTCCTGTTTTGGAAAAACTGCCCTTTCAGGACTGTTAATTGAATCATGAGGATTCTTCGTCAGAGAAATTGACTCTTTTGTCTCTGCGAATACCATAAAACCAGTGACCTGATCGGCACATCTCACTCTGAGAGCTGCACTGTACCCAAAGTCCTGCCACAGTCAAATACGTTTCCCAGCACGTCTCATCTGCCCTTCTAAAAACCAATGTGTATTTTCAAACTGTTCCCACAATAACAACTATCATACATATCTACACATTCTCTGTGATGTAACTGCAGAAGCGATGAGACGTGTCACCCCATAAAGTGTTTATTTAAGTTAAAACTCCTTAACTGTCTTTTTAGCTTAACTCACACACACATCGATAGAGGTCAAAATGACAGAAAACAAGTGTTTGTGTTTACTTCCGGGCTGACAGCTGTGTTTCTGTGTGTGCAGGCTGCCGATGGCGGGAAACCTGCCTCTCAGCATCACTCGCTCCTGGTGGCAGCCAATCAAGCGGCAGTGATCAATGCAGCTAAGAGCGCTGCAGCAGCTGCGGCCGCTGGAGGCAGCCTGTCCAAGGCGGCCGTGGCCTCGCTGGTCAAGGGAGCCGGAAACTCTGCCGCCATGACGAAAAGTGCTGCAGGCTCAACTGGAGCTTTAGTTACTGTGGCCAAAGGCATTACCAACATGCCTGTGGTCAGCATGTCCAAGGGTGCAGGGGCGGGGACTGTGGGGGGTGTGCCCAAGAGCAGCGGCAAGTCATTGGTCAATGCCGCCTCGCTGGTCACCGGAATGGCAGCAGCAGGAGGAAAGACGGGTGCTACTCTCTCAGGTATGCATTTAGAGATGACCTTTCCAGTGTCTTTTAGGTCACGATCAGATTCTATACTTACATTTACTGAAACAATGAAATAATTAGTGTAGTTCAGCACAACTTTTATTAATTGGAATTTTGGCTGAACAGACGTTATAAATTGCTGTCCTTTCTTTTGGTTCTAAAAAAAAGTCTGTTTGAGTTAGCCAACTGTTACTAGCTCACTTAGTTGCAGAATATTGCATTTACAATTACAATTGATTTTAAAGTTTAAACCCCGCTTGTACATCTAACTCTGGGAGACAAAAAGATAGTTAGTAAAACTACTTTATTACAAATTAATCAAAACAATTTGGCCATGGATAAATCTGGATTGGTACCTGGAATTCCAATATAGGATCAGATCTGTCCCAACTTTATATAAATACTGTTTTTCTCATCTGTTAAATTATTTAAACAAACATATTTTGGGTCCAGCCGCATTGCTCCTCCTGTTGAATGTACTGTACTGTGCTCTGTCCAGGCATGCTGAAGATCCACTCTGGAGGCTCCAGCTCTCAGCAGACAGTCTTATCCATCCCTGCCAACCAGCTGAAGCAGCTGGGGGGGGGCGGTGGCTCTGGAGGGGTGCAGCCCATACTCATGCCTGTTGGGAAAGGTACGCCTGACACAGCCGTTTAAAACATTTGTTTAGCCAGCACAACACAACAGTCTGCCTCATCACTACTGTAGCTTAGGCCGACATTTTCTTATTACCAAAGATTGTATTGAAGGGTAGAACTCTGTTTACTCTGAATCTGTTCTTCGAGGGGATAAAAGGCAGTAGCGATGGCATTTGAATAAAACATGAAGCAGCGTTGACATTGATTTCTTTGTTGTTGTGCCACTTATTTGATCACAAGTGTCTGAAAAGCAAATATTGAAATAAAGCAAAGGATTCTTAGAGTGTAAGAGTATAAGTAGCCAGCAGAAGATTCATTCAGTTTCCATTCTATATGGTATACATCTATAATGTGTCATTCATCTTAGACTGAGGGTGTTTCTCAATGTCGAGTAAAGCTGCTCCGGAGCCACTATTTCAAGCATGCTACGTCATCGAGTTGTTTGGAGAAATTGAGGCTGCACATGTGTAGACCCCGCAGTCTTAAAATCCCCACAATGCTTTGCGCATGGACCAATTTCCCCAAATCTGTGAAGGAAAATGTAAGGCGGGGCCTCTCATATGACGCACACCTGCACACTTGCTCGCCTGTTCCACTCTTCGTTTTCCGAATGCCAGGAAGTATTCTTGCCTCGCTTCTGAAGCAAGTGACTCGTAAGACATGTGCTACCAAGCAAGCGTACTTGACATTGAGAAACACCCAGAGGCTCATACATCCACTGCAGATTCTCCTTTCTCTCTCTGCGGTAAACCATCTTCCTCTCCTCACATTTTTCATCCAACTCTTAAGTCCATTTACCTGATGGGCCATTGATCCATCCTGTGTGTGTGTGTTTCTTCTGTGTATAGTAATGTCTAAAGGCCCAGTCTCCACTACTCCCTCCTCCTCCTCCACCCCTGGAGCAGTTGGAGCCTCCCCAAGTCCTGGCAGACAGGCACCCCCCTCCCTTGCCCTGCCTCTGGCACAAGGTGAGAGGGGTCCATCCCCACTCCCCTCCCTCACTCCTTTATTCCCACCTCCATTTTCTACCATTCTATCTAAACATTGGAAAGAAAAGACAATACAGTACCGAGTTTTGGTACAATTTTAAACTAGTGCCTCGTTTTTTTTTTATCAATACAACTCATTGATAGAGGTCAGACATTGCTGTACTAACTCCCAGCAACTGTATTGATCACACACCTAATCTCCCACACACCCTTTACGTCAGCTGCTATAAAACAAGTTCACTCACACACAAGTTCATCTACAAAACTACAATCTAAAGGAGCCCATTAGAAAACATCAACAGGCTTTCTACAAAAATGACTACCCAACTCACATAATGAGTGAACACAGAACATTTAAGGAGTGCTTATATTCTCTTAATGGCTTCATACATTTCTAAAATATAGTCCTTTTAGTTGGTTCCAATGTTCAGGATTCAGGGAGATACCTTCCTCCTCCGGCTTCATCTCCCCACCCGAGTTCATCCAGTACTCTACTACAACAACAACAACAACAACAAATATATGTCTCTCCTCAAATATACAAGTGTGCAATTGTTTAATTCAATCTCTGTCTCACACTTGCTTTTCCGCTGTGTCTCTCTTCCTCCACAGTGAAGACTGAGCCCGGCGCCGGCACAGCTGTCACAGCTGCTCCGTCTCCCCCAGCGACCGCTCCTGTCCCCACCTCTGCAGCTACGATAGTCAAACAGGAGCAAGGGGCGGAAACCTCTGCTCACGAACTCATCAAGTGAGTGCACGAGGAGTCACGATGCAACCCTGACTTACAGCGCCTGAACTGATTCTCAGAGGCGTTGATCATTTATGCTCTGTTAACAGGAAAGGTGTGAGTGAAGAAACACATTTATTTAAGCACCCAAACTCACACTGAGTCATCCAGAGGGCAACTGTGCTCGGATATATAAATGTATTTCATCACTTAAAGCAACATCAACGTAAGATTCTGAATGTTTGCGACTTAGCGCTGATACAGATTCAGAGTGCAATTCACTTGCACTGCTGTCGTAAATATGGACGGGTATAGCATTACACCTGCATTTGCTATCATTAAACTACTTACAAATACTAGAGAGTTGACAACTTTGAAAATAATGCAGAACATCAAGCAAGTGGAACAACATCAGATAAGCCAGTTAATCTTTCTCACAATTCCTTAGAGCAGGGATTTCCAAACTTCTTTTCACTGAGGGCCAAATATAGGAAGGGCTGGGCCCCTCACTAGAGGTGTATTGGCTCATAAGGTAAGTTATAAGTCAGCAAAATCAATCAAATGTAGGTCAATTATGCTTGATACTTGAACATTAAGAAACACACCAGCCTACATCACAGCTCTCCAGAGGGTTTACTTTAGTGTGTTGGCAGCTCATTCCTTCAAACTGAAGCCTCATATTGCTTATAAAAAGAGGACATATGAAGGGTAGATTTCAAGCTTCTCATGTAATGAAGTTATTGGGCTTTTTTTGTATCAACTTAGATTTGTTGAACTTATTTGAATTGACTACATTTATTTGAAAAGTGGGCCTTTTAACACATGCAGACTTTGTAATATGTTTTCATTTTGTGAGCCATATTTCATTATGCTTTTGGAATTAGCTGAGGGCTGTTTCAAAATGGACAATTTGGACACCCCTGAACCCCGCTCCAGTTTCCACTCACCTGATTCCTGTTCTAGCGAAATTGACACAATGTTGCTTTAAGTGTTTTTTTGTGTAACAATTTCTCCATTGCACTGAATACCTTCTGGTTGTATATCTGACTCTCGTGCTCTCTCTCTCAGCACTGAGCACATAGAGACGCTGATGCAGCTGCTGACAGCCGTGGTGAAGAAGTTCCCTCTTATAGTGCCCGATAAGAGTAAGTGAGCCTGCTTTCTGTTTGGTCTGCTTAAAAACCAGCTCCATATATTAAATCAGACTGAAAGCCTGTGGGTTTTTTCAAGCTTTGTAATGCTTTGTTTGTTTGTTTAGCCGAAGACTCCCATCCATTCTGTGCCTCCTCAACAGAACAGTATTATTCCTGGACTATTGGCAAGCGCAGAGCATCAGAGGTGACTTTCTCTTGTTGTTTTTGAATGATTGATGCTGTAGGTTTTCAGTGACTTTGAGTTCAAATAACGCCTCAGTGGAGTCAAACTGAAAAACCATGCAAACTACAGCTGCGATTATTAGTCAATAGAACATTTGTTGTCATGTTGGGCTTACCTTTTTCCCTTTCACTATTTTCTGGCATTTTATAGACTGTATTTCCTAGACTCATTAATATCTCAGAGCACTGACTTAATAGCAGTTGCTCTCCAGTTTCCATGGTGGGGGTGTCTATAATGCCAGGCTTAATTTGCATTCTTTGCAGTTTTGTTCTCTGTGTAATCTGTCTTGGTGCTCGGTGCTGGGACCCTGACTCAGCAATCTTTGTGCTTACCTCATGGCTTCCTATCTACCCGGTCAGATGTGTATCTCTGCCTGTTGTGTCCCTTCATCTCTTTCTAATGGGTTCATCAATAGCTCATGCAGGCCAGTCCATGTGTTAGCTGTCTGTTCTCTTTCTCTACAACTATAAAAGGCTCAGACTGGATATTTATATCTACGGGGCGCTAATTTACTAAAGGGCCAGGGGACTTGAAGCAAATCATAAGACAAGGCCAGGGGAGGATCTGTCACAGAGAGTTAAATAATGTAAAACTGTGAATTGTGTCAGCTTTTTGCGTTATGTACAGTATAGAGGCTAAGCCAACGCTTCAAGCCTCTGAGGATCCGCTAACTTGACGTTATTGACGCACACATACCTTGCCAGGTGAACAAAAGTCCGATACAAAGTTTTCAGTGAAATACAGTCCATTTATTTCCTTTTACTGGTGTCCATTTAACTTGCTTCATTTTTCCATTTACCATACACAATATTACGGTTCACACAATACCCGTGTTTGCGTGTGTGTGTTCTCCGTGTGTGGTCGAAAACTTTTCCCGGCGGAACCTGAATCCACAAACATTGGTTCCTACCTTTATACCCACAGTGTTAATTAGCTCCTACATACAGTTTTTCCTAATAGATGTGTGTGTGTGTGTGTGTGTGTGTGTGTGTGTGTGTGTGTGTGTGTGTGTGTGTGTGTGTGTGTGTGTGTGTGTGTGTGTGTGTGTGTGTGTGTGTGTGTGTGTGTGTGTGTGTGTGTGTGTGTGTGTGTGTGTGTGTGTGTGTGTGTGTGTGTGTGTGTGTGTGTGTGTGTGTGTGTGTGTGTGTGTGTGTGTGTGTGTGTGTGTGTGTGTGTGTGTGTGTGTGTGTGTGTGTGTGTGTGTGTGTGTGTGTGTGTGTGTGTGTGTGTGTGTGTGTGTGTGTGTGTGTGTGTGTGTGTGTGTGTGTGTGTGTAGCTTCAGCGGGCGGTGGCAGTAAAGCGGCTGGTCCAGGATGTGTTGGACCGCTCGCCCCGCCTGCAGGCCCTCACCCCCCCAAAGACCAGAGAGGTGGTGCAGTGGTGCCGGCAGAGGGGCTACACGCCGCCTGACCTCGAGCCCCAACGCAAGAACGACGACGAGTCCATCGAGGACATCCTCACGCAGATAGACAACGAGCCCGGTGAGTTTGTGTTTGTTTTGGGGGAATAGATTTCACGGTTTTCAATCAGCTCAGAGTGGATCAATATTCTCCCTTCAGTGTTGCATGTGTGGGCGTAGTGCTTCTGCAGATACCACTCAGTTCAGTAATGTGTTGGCAGTCCAGTAGTGTGTGAGGGCGGGCGGTGTGCAGCCTCACTGTTTTTGTTCAGGCGTCTTTTATTCAGAAAGAATTCTCATTAATTCTGTCTTTTGTCTGTAAAGGGTGAGAGACAAGCTGCTTAGCTCAGTGAGTCACACACCGCCTGAGCCAGACAATATGATAATCTGTGTTTGTGTTTTCCTCGTCCTCCTTCATGCACAAATGTCTTGATTTTTAATTATTGCATTGTTTGACCAGTTTAACGAGCCACAATTGCACAAAAGTTCTCTTAAAGGTCTCCTATCATGCAAAATGCACTTTTTGATGTATTTTGTACATGAATATGTGTGTCAGTAGACTCACAAAGTGTCCGGAAATACAACCCTCTCTCTTTTCCTCCGTACCGAAATCTCTAAAAACGGGGGTACAACGGAGCCGATCTAGATTCGCTGCTACTATCAGAAATGTCGCTATCAGAAACGATGCGTGATGCGTTTTGGAAGTAATTTAGTCTTTGTTCACATTAGCAAGCATCGCTAACACTCAGAGCTAACCTGTACTGGAGAGAGTATGTATAAAAAAAGCAGGATATAAAAGGAACTCACCTTGTGGTAAACCTGTGAGAGAAAAAGCCGTTGAGCTCCACACTGTTTCAGAAATAATCCTTGATGTGGTTTGGAACATAATATGGCGTTTAATCACGGCAACGTTTAGCTGAGTATCTGGGTAGAATTCTCCTGCATGAGCTCTCGTCTCGGCTCTCTATGTCCTCTCTATATATTTCTAAGACCTATAATATATGCCTAAACATATTATAATAGGACACCTTTTAATATGTATCTTTTAAACACACAGCAAGCCACTAAGTGAATCACCAATGCTGTTACCGTTTGTGAACTGGTGTGTTAAATGTGAATGTGACTCGCTCCGCAGAGTGCCCGACGACCCTGAGCAGCTGTGAGGAGCTGGTGCTGCGGCTGGAGCAGATGCAGGCTCTGCTGAAGACTGAGCCGGAGGAGGCAGACGACAGGATAGTGGACATCGTCACTGTGACCCCCCCATGCCAGAAACTAAAGGTCAAAGAAGAGGAGCAAGAGGCTGATGCTGAGCCCAAGTTCTTCCTGGGGCCATGCATGTCTGCTCAGTTTGTGGGTGACACAGCACAGCAGGTCAGGAAGCTCTCTTTGGAAAGGGAAAATGCTTTGATGGTTTAACCAATACAATCCTGTTGTTGTGTTGCTTCTATTCACTGATGTTACAGTTAGAAGAAGCGGCACAACTGTCTCCATTTTTATATAATGTCTCCTCACTCTCTCTCAGATCGGGGTGAACTTCCAGCCAGTCGAGGTGGAGAAGAATGTGTATGCTCCAGTTGTTGAAGCCATGATTCTGAAGGTCAGTCACTATACAGGCCAGAACAGAGAAACAAAGTTGCCATTTCCAGCAGCATAACGTTACCTTCACATACCCTTGAGTAGAATAATGAATACTCTATATAGGAGATGTTCCCCTGCACATTATTGCTTGTTTGATCTTGTACTGTACGAGAGAGTGGGTCGCTTTGGGACTAATGGTGTGTGTGTGTGTGTCTCTGCAGGCTACTGAACAGTTTGCCAGTGACATCCTGAGAGAAGCTCTGGCTGGGGCGTTCGCCAAATCCCCTCAGAACAGGTCAGCCGGTTTTTTTTTTTCTCTCGGTCTCTATAATGCAACCTGCCTAATGCTCCGTTTTTCACATGTATTCGTTTTATCCAGGGCTTGCCCAAGCAACCAGTTTGCTACTACTTATTCCAAACGTATCCATACCAGGAAATATCTATAAATAGTATTGCATGAATAGATATTTTATCATAACTGTTTAAAACAGAATATACAGAAACCTAAATTAAGTAATGTAAACGGAAGTAAAAAAGATTGAGTAGCTGTTTTGGCCTGAATGAGATCACCTACTGAAGAGATCTGAAATTATATTGACTATTCAGTTATGCTAGGGATATTCTAGGTACTAAAAAGCAACAAACGGCTCAAGGTTAAATACATTTCTGGCATTTTCCAAACAGCAGATTGTGTGTAATGCTCTGTAGTAAACCTGGAAACATCTGCCACTTTCATGACCAGTTCACCTACAGGAACCAGGGAAATGTGCATGATGTCAGATAACAGGGCACTTTACTAATAAGAGACCTGAAAATGCATTGATTCATATCTTATTATATAACAGTCATAAAGCAGTGATAACACATGTCTCCTGTGTGTTGCGCCATGTTTAAATGACCTTGGTGTTTTGCAGGGCTCCGAGAGAGATCACAGCCATGAACATCCACCAGGCGGTCAGTAGCGTCCCCACCTGTGACTTCCTCACCAACACACACATGGGTTACCTGTCCAAGGACAATTGAGGCATAACAAGAAGACATTGACTGGTAACCGACCCCTACAGGGATGTGAGGACTGTTCGACCTCCTGCTTATGACGGAGAGACTCTTTGAAGTGCGTGAACATTCACTTCTGGATGTAGTCCTGTTGCCTCAGGTTGCGCAGTAATAACTAATGTACTGTATTCATTAACTTAATTACAGAAGGACCCAGCTTGCTCCTCACAGCAGCCGAATAACAATTTCTAACACTCTTGTATCATTTTAGTCCTAATGTACCAGAAGCAGCGTCGTGGGACTGGCGTCATTTGATTTTGAGAGGCTGTTGTGCGCTAGCTTACCTCATAACAAGATTATTTTAATGATGAAGTGTTTCCTACTAGACAACCACCTAGTCAGCAGGGGAAATGAAGCCTGAGTGACTTACAAAAAAAACAAAACCTCATCAGACAGCTGTCCCCCCCTTGATTCTTCACCCTGCTCACAGGTTCAGTTAACAGCGGAGGTGAAGCACAGATTCACAGCGGGTTGTAAACACTAATGAACATCTGGGTATTAGAGTTTCCATCAATCAAGTTGATAGTAATGTCTGGTGGGCAAAACAAGGATTTTATTCCAAAAGTGTCGTTGCTACAGCAACTGTCTGCGAACATCCTTTGTTGTGTTTCAGTGTCACCTGCCAGCTGAATTCTGGCTCTTACAATACCGCTGTTTTTAAGGGTCCACGAGAAGAGGTAACTGATTCATGTTTCTTATATTTAAGTTGCAGCGTTTTATGAAGGGTTATAAAAAAAAAAACATGTCTGACTCTTAACAAGACAAAGTCTAATGAACAAAACATGTCATACATATCTTAATATGTATCTACTCCCCCTTAAAAATAGGTTCAGTTGAAAGTGCTTTTAAGTGTTCTGTTTGGCAACCATAATCATGTGATGTACACAGTATGACCAATTTGAAATAGATGGTGTTTTCAAATCCTGTTTTATTTTTTTATCCAATAACAATAACTGCGAACAGTAATGCCCTAACAGTAGTGAGTGTGTGTATGAATATGTGCGTATAGTGGATGTAGTCGTCACAAAAGTGAATGCATTTGATGGTAAGTGAGTGCGCTGTGTGTGTTTTGTGGGCTGATGTAGTGTTGGTAAATCTGTTTGATGTGGAGCTTTGCATTATGTTAATGTGAGGATGATTGGATGAGTGGAAGTGTTTGGCCTGAGTGGTTGTGATGCCTGTTCAACCAAATTAGTGTAGAAGGTTACCAAATGTTGTATTTTCATGTTTCAGTGCAAAACCAAAAATATAATCAATATTCTTGTAATAAAAAAGGAAAAACTTGACTCGTGTTGAACATTTTTGTTTGCTTTGGATCAGGATAGTTTGATTTTTCCTTACATTTTACAGAACATTTCATTTTTTATTCAAGTATGACACACGAAAACCCTTTCACTCCCACATTACCTGACCTTTGGTATAACAGTGGTTAACTGCAATCAGAACTCTATTCATACTTTTCGTTTAATAAGGGGTCCATGGTGTTTTTCAGGCCAAAGACCCCTTCACCTGAAAGAGACAGAGCAGGGACCCCTACTACTTATTTAAACTGGGCCTAAAAAAGAGCCGAGTGACATCTCATAGAAAGTGCTAATAACCTTATATTCTTTTATTGTAATTTCACTTACATCATTTTTTTCTTTAACAATAGATTTACAAAATAATAGACTGAACAATACTTTCTCAAAATGGTAAACTAACTAGGGAAATAAATAACTTGTTTTCTAGCAGAACACCAAAAGGGCAAGAAAGTACTCGTAAGCATACACACTTAGTGATGTCATTCGTTACTGTAGCAGACCCAACATTATGTACAACTAAAGGACAAATCAGCAGGTGCACACACACACACACACACACACACACACACACACACACACACACACACAGCAGCCAGTTTCTTGTGCATCTATAACCGCAAAAAAAACGTTCTAACATGCATATTATTTTTCATAGCAACAGGGGTCGTAGGAGTGTAAAAGGGTCTGTCTGTCTGTCTCCACTCGGGTCGTGGCACTGCAGCTCCACAGGATTCACAACATTATACATTCCCTTGCATAGATTCTTGTGTTGTGGAATGGACTCAAATCATTCCCCTTGATTTCTTAAAATGATCAAAGAGGAACGGTTGGAAATCGGAGCAGCTGTCAGATGTTGAAGACCCTCGGCCCGCTTTGAAAGAGAGCTGAAGAGTTTGGAGGGAACTTGGTCCTCACCAGATGATCCTGAGACATGGGCGAGAGACAGAGAGAGAGATGCAGGTATTACAGCAGCTATTAAGGTTATCAGAGACATTAAAGCAGAGAGGGCAGCAGCTGTGGTGCCTTCACTGGACCCATGAAATGAGAGGAGACTGCTTTTGACTGTGCTGTCAAGATGAATCAGGTCTACTGTCAGAGTGCTAGCAGTCCGGACTGTTGCTGTTTCCTGCTTAGTGCTGCTCAGTTCTGCTGATGGCAGCTCTTTTAAAACCCTGGCCAAAAAGTTGCCTTTAAATATGTTCTTTCTTTTTCTCTTCTTCTTCTGCTGTCCCGGCAGCACTTTGAATGTGACTTCACAGCTCAGTGGGTGGCAGGAAAGGCAGCTCATGTTGTTCGGCAAGTCGCTTTGGTGTGTGAGTGTATTCACCTCCTCCCCTCTCTCACACACACACACACACACACACACACACACACACACACACACTCCGGCTTTTCTGCTCTGTGTAGCAGCCAGGTCTGCCTCTCTCCTAAATTAGATTTGTGCCAAAGAAGACTGCATCCCTGTGCAACATTGCACTTTAACAGATAATCCATCAAATTGTGCTCTCCAGCTACACCCCCCCTCCCCCACTTCCCTCCCTTTCCCATTCTCTCATCACCTATCTTTCACATGCTGCATATCGTTCTTCTGTCGTCATCCTTTTCCCCCATAGCTTTATCTCTTTTCCCTCAACCTTCTCTTGCCTTTCCTCTGCTCTTTAACACAATTCTCTGCTCGCTCCCTGCCAGCTTGGAACAGACTCTCCCTCTGTAGTCCCAGGCAGCGTGGGAAAAGGGAAGAGGTCCAAGTGAAAGACAAGGGGAGAGAAAACAGAGAAAAAGCCCGGATTGGGGGATAGCTCGAGATTTAAAGCTATTGTGAGCAGCCTTTCCATCTCATCTGTGCACTGTGTTACTGCCTCACCAAAACACAGCACTGCTATGCATTGTGTTCAGAAGTTAAGCAGGGCAGCCAGTGAGCTTTAAGAATACAAACTTAAATCCAGGGGGCTGCTGCCATAAGCTGACTATGCAACAACCAAGAATGTAATAACAAGAGTTTCTTCTCTGCATGCTAAATGTGTTCACCATCCAGCGGTTTTGTGTTGCTCATCTCTGACACACACACACACACACACACGCACATGCACATGCACACATACACATACACACACACACACCACACACACACACACCGGATTAAAAAGCCCATCCTTGCAAATCTGTTTGCCTTGTATAGCAGATTCCGAAAACACACTTCTGTGCAGCGTGACAAGTGGGACAGAGCCGAGACTCAGGTTTAACAGACGTTCCTTCTCTCATGTGAGTGATCGCAGCAACCTCTCACTGGGGGGGGGGGGGGGGGGGGGGGGGGGTTCAATGAGTGCAAGAGAAAAGGTGTCTCATCATGAAAAGCGTGTCCTAATCACTCATTTGTCTGCTGGCTGTGTGTCATGAAATTAGAGATGGCTCTTATCCGTGGAGATGGATTTGAATGTGTTTTAGGTGGGGGAGCAAACAATTTGACAGATTGATTTGAGCAATAATGAGAATTTCATGGCTGCCCAACTCCTTTATCATTAAGAGCAGATTTATTCTGATTTCAGCAGCTTATTTGGTACTTAACCATTACATCTTTTAATGAATAGATACAGTCTGCATGCTCCACGCTAAATGGGGAAGCGTCGCCTGCTGGTGATAACACAGTTGGGTTTAGTGTATTTTACAGAATGGCATCACAAAGGGAGAATGCCCTCAGAGACAAATACCAGCAGAGTGCCATGACCCAGCGTAATGCATACTGGAGTGGGATGTGTAATGCTTGGTCAGACACCTCTGCGGGGGGCTGCTGAGTCAATAATGAGTCGGCAGTGTGTGGGCCTGTGGTGACCGGGGTGGATTATCTAAGTTCAACTTGATTTGCTGCCAGGCTGGTGTACTGGCAGATTGTGGTACAGCTGATGAAAAGGCACTGAAACTGCACATGTTTCAATGCCGTATCTGTATGTGTGTGCTTGGGGTTTAGTGTGTGTAATATTAAGTGCAGTTTGCACAGCTGATCACACTGCCAGCAGCACATCCCTTCTTAATGCCATGAACTCTCTCTCCAACTGGGCCGGTGTTATTAATAGAGCCTGTGTCCTACAATTGACATCTCTCAGTTCGAACTCTTCACCATCACACAGCATAATGAGGGACAAAAACGCTCAGCAGTAGTCATTATTTCAAAAAGAAATGTGCAAATAACCACTTAACTTTCTCTCTTCTGCATCATTATTGTCTAACCTCAGGAAGTTGCAGAAGTCCAATTCCCCCTTGATAAAACTCCAATGTATAACATTGTTATTTTAATTTCTTGTATTAATTTAAATTCAGTTATATCATCAGTCAAATTAATGTCTCTGACCTAATAAAACGGTTTCCAAAATGTCAGTTGCGAAGAAAAACAGCCATGTTTAAAGGTTTGAAACAATGCATTTTTTTAAGATAATGCAATTGTTTTTTTATGTTGTTTATGTAGCCTGTCTATGAAGGAACACACATTCTGAGATTGATTACTTTCACAGGCTTGTATTCTGCACATTGCTAAAATAAAATGTGTTAATCACATTTGTATTATTTCTTAGCTAAATGTTAATTGAGGCTTCAAAATGTTGGAACATGCCTTCAAAACATCCTCTAAAGTAGCCTGTAAACTTCCCCAGGTTCCTATAACTCCCAAATATCAAGGACATCATGACCTTAGTGTCGCTAGGACCCGCCAAACATAGATTTGTCCCACAAACACATGTTCTAACCCTTCAGTGTGAGATGTATTGCTACACAGTGTGCAGCAGAGAGACCAGACAGACCCGACCTAGACCAGATCCCCACTGGCAGATGGCGCCGTGATGTGTGGGCGGGAAGAGGGATGGCACTAAACCTCTGGAGATTCCCAAAATCTGTCTCACTTACTGTCACGCAAAACAGCTGACCTGAGCAACATCACAGGGAGGGGACGGAGGAAAGGGGGTCGTGTCCCCTCAGACAGTTTATCCTACGATAATCTGAAACAACCTGACTGAACTGATGAATATTCAGCATCCTGAGCAAATCCTCTTGCCCTGTTGAGTTATGCTTCTGTCCAACATCTGCTTCTTTCTGTCCCAGACCTCCTGCCTTTCCTGAGAGCAAAAGAACTGGGGCGAAATGTGAAATCGTGTGAATATTTGGTCGATTCTTTAACCTTTGACATTCTGCCCCTGGCCATATTAAGGACACTTTTTCAAAATAACTCAGTTACATTTCTTCAACATTATGTGTATTTTTACTATATTTTAGTATCGCTGCAGGTCCAAAAAAACATTGCCCGTTCATGATTTAGACTCCCATGTAGACCAATGTCTTTACACTTGTCTACAGGTTTCTTTGTTTTCTGACCAAAGTGTAACAAAATTAGAACTATTAGCCATTCACTTTTTGTTCTAATCAAGCCTTTTCTTTTTAGGTCAAAGTAATATGTGTAGCACCAACAGTCTGTTACCTAACAGAGCACATGGCCTGTTTAAACTGCTGGGTCACTTTGAGCTGCTTTAGGACAGGATGCTGTATCACTTTTCTGAAGCGCCCCATCAGCAACAGGCCACCAGGGAGACGGGAGAAGCTGAATTTAGGGAGGATGCTGCATGCTGCAATTCAAACCTGTAGCTCCTCCAATGAGCCCTTTGTACGTTGCATGGCTCCTCCACACAAACTGGCGGCCGCTTTTGCTTTAATATATCGTGAAAACACACAATTGTACTAACATTTCTGTCTTTGCTTACCTCTGCCTCGCTCAGGTGGAGGCTGGAGGGGGTGGGTGAACCACCAGCTGGCAGGGCAGTGGGGATGTGCTGGGGGCCACCAGCAGGGTGTACGTTGGGGGCAGCAGATGTGATATTTTGCTCCTTATGATGCAGCCCTATAGACGGGACGTCCCCACTGTAGGCAGCCTGGTAGCTAGTCTCACGTGGGACGTTAGTGGCCTCTGTCCCCGGGCTGGAGTACTGAGTTGAAGGATTTTTCCTCGCACTTTTGGCTGGTCTCACCCCGGTCCACTGCCTGTACTCTTGCCTGGAGGAAGAGGCAAAAGTTTGTCTGAGAGTAACTTAAAGGGTGATCATACCAGCTTCATACCTAAAGATAAGTTTATTTGTCATGGGGAGTGCATAATGCATATCGTGAAAAAAGTTGTCTTGTAAAGTCTCCTAAAGCTTGGTGCAAAAGCTTCCTAAAGTCTAGGTTTAACTGACATCAACCAGGCAGTGAGATATGCTATCAATTTGCATTGTTTGAAGTGACTCAATGTATTTGATGCTTGAAAGCAGTGAAATACCACTGCTCCTACTACTTGGGTTAAATGCAGAGGTCAAATTTCACTGTGTGCGCTGAGTGGATGTATGTGTGACAATTTAAGAGGGTTTCATCCCTCCCATTCGATCTATTCTATTGCATTTTTAAATGTGTTTCTATAACACATGGTCATATTGAAAATGTTGGTAGGCCTACTATGGGTTATTTATATAACTTATAGGGGTCTGGACCAACCAAGGGATTGTACAAAAACTGAGTGATTGCAAGATGATCAACAAAACAATAATCCAATATTTTCAAATATATTTTTTTATTGTGAAGTATACTGCACAGTTTTACATTTTTTTTGTATCTAAAAAGGCTAAAACCCTTGGTAAACATAAAGCTAACATTATTTGATGGAAGTTGTAATTGATAGGAAAGGAGATGTCTACATAACCTGAAATCAAATGCAACATCCAACCAAAGAGAATAATTGATGACCTCCACAGCTTGCTGGGTCGACCATGGAAGTCAATGAATTTTAAAACACACACATCTAATTAGGCATCAAAGCAAGCACCAGCATTCACACAGAGGACAGCGACAAGTGCTGCAACCAGAGGCGGACATGTCCTACCTGTAGGAGCTGGTTTTGCTCTCCTCCACCCCCTGGGGGTCTGCCCCCCTCTGCCCCCTGCCCCGCTCCTCGCCCTCCCCCGGGTGTGCCTGGCTGTGGTACCCGTTCTCCGGGCTGTCCGGAGCACTGTCTGCCCTGCTGCCCCCGTTACTAATCCAAGGGAAATTCTCCTTCCTGGGAATGGGCCAAGGTTTGAAATCCTGCTTGTACTGGGTCACACTGTTGAAAGGCACTCCGGGTGGGTGATACTCCTCCCGGGGCTTGTAACTTTGCTCCTTCCGTGCCTTGAGGGATCCTCGGGTCCCCGGGCCATCTCTGGGCGCATGAGAGGGGCCACGCGGGTCCGGGGTAGCGTACTTATTCCCGGGTGCGCGCTCCGAGGCGGAGACCTGTTTGGTGATGGAGCGCACCTCATGATCCGGGATGTCCGAGTAGTTCTGGATGGTGAGCGGGACGGAGAGGTCCGATTTGTCGAACTGGTTCCAGAAGCGAGCCAGGCAGCACACTCTGCTGATGCACGGCCAAGCCATCCCCTCCCCTAACTGTGCGACTTGTAGAAGAAATCAAAGAAAAAATAACAGAAAAAGAAGAGGAAAAAACGACAGATTACATTCAGAAAGAGTATCGCCCTCCCTCCGCGTCCGTTAGTGGGGAGCTGAGAGAATACAGTGTCCAGCAGTCCATGTCAGCAGCAGAGGAGTGCCAGGAGATGAACCGGTCTGCCGGGGACCGTCATTGAATATTCCTCTCACGTGGTCTGCGATAGTGCCTCCACTATGCAGAGGAATTTGTGGCAAATGATTCCCTGTATCTCCAATTAGGTCCAGAGTGTAGCCCAAACATCGGATTGAAATTATTATTATGTTTTGCTTTTCTATTGTGCAATTAAAATGGTTCAGGAATATGTTTTATTGCTGCTCCACTTTTAATCACTGGTATTACTCTGACTGGTGCCAGCATGAGGGTTACATAATTATGATGCCGCGGCAAACCTACAGTTTACAGTATGGGTTGGTAGACTTCAATTCAACACACTCAGCAAACCTGACGAACCCAGCAGGAGAGTGTGTGGAGAATATTTTTTGAAATGCTTCAAATATTTCTCAAGTCACTCTTTGCCATTTATTGTATCAACCTGCTACACCTGGAGGTCATTGGCTTCAGTCTGATGCTTCAAGTATTTATAAGGTTTTTTTGGTATTTTTTCAAAAATGTATGCAATTGCCTGCTTTAAGCTGTGAATCAGACTGCAGTGCACTATGTACACATGACAGCCATACTGCAATTTAGAACAGTAGATTATCTTGAAAAAGAACAACAATGGCAAATAGAAGACATTTTGAAACTCGACAGTAAAAGTCGAGATAATGAAATAAATGAAGGTTGAATTCCATAAACTACCTCCGTTTTATTTTTCATTCAGGCTCACTGTCTCACTGTCATGGCTAACTGGATCACTTGGCTAGAACAGATACAGTACATTGTTAATGTTGTTAGTTACACCTGTGCTACACAAAATGCTTGAATTGCCCATCATGACATTACCCAATAATTCATTGCAGGTTAGCTCATGTAGGGCTCAGAGCACTATTGCCTTTTGGACCCCCATGTAGGTTCCTGGGATTTACATTTTCTTTATGCCGTGACGACAAAAAAAGTTACAAAAAGCACATCAGATATGGAAAAACAACAATCTAGAAACACTTAACAAACCATTTAAAAATAATTCCAGTGTAGAGAGGACTGTAACTTTATTGCAACACCATTTCTTGTTAGAAGAAATGATTTTTCGCTTATTTGCCTGAAAGTAAATAATAATAGTAATAATAATAATACATTAAATGTATATAGCGCTTTTCCTGGTGCTCAAAGTGCTTTACAAGCAAGTAAAGAAGAAAAAATGACAACAAAAGTAAAAAGTGCTAAACTAGGTTGAATGCGAGGGGTACCGTTAGAGGATTAGGAGTTGAAGGCAAGAGTTACGTTTTGAGGGATTGTTTGAATGATATGAGATGTGATGAAATGAGATGCGAGAAATAGAACCGTAGTGGTGGCAGTTCAGTCGCTCGTGTGGATTGTTTTCGAAGGCATGGGGAATGACCTACAGTATTTTACTGTTTAGGTAAAAGCATTTTTAGAACATAACAAAGAAATGTGGACTCTAAAGCTTGACACTATTAGCATATTTAGTTTCATTGAGCCACCAAATGATCCTCAACATTATGCCTATTTTTTTTTATAAACAAGTGTAGTCTGCCTTTTCATATAGTATTAGAAAAGGATGAAGGAAATGTGAAGTGCTTTGATTCTACCGAGATAACTGACACTCCTCCTTAATAGTGGATTAGCAATAAACGACTGCACACCTATATAAGTTTAGAGAATTACGGTTTATTACAGTTCAGTGAGGGTGACATGGAGGGATATGCATAACGTTTTTCAGTTTGGCACTTGATGCACTGCAGGCAGAATAGCTTCCCTCTATGAGCTGTTAGAAGGATGCAGGATTAGCCTCTCTCAGGGGAGGCAGCGCAGCCATTTATGAGCCATTTAGGTTGCTTTGACACAGAAAAAGCAACTGTCATTGATGAAGATGCATTGCATTTTATCTCCACACCACTGTACTTTCTAACAATAGATGGAACAGGTTTTCTAGTGTGATTGCCAATGTGAGCCAATAACTTTAGCTGCAGACAACTTTTTAATGTCAGATAATAAAATAGAATGAACATTGTTGAGTTATCAGGGAATTTCCTACAGCACTAATGAACAATATCCAAAAAATGTGATCCCTTAAAAACAGCAGTGTGATACTACCATCTATACAGGGGGATTCATGACGTTACTTTCCTGCAAAATAAACCTTTGTTTATTTCATGTAAAAAAAACTGTGGCTTTTTGTGTCTTTTTCTTTCTTTCTTGATATGGTTGGTGGAAGAGAGAAAGAAAGTTCCAACATGAAGCTGTTCACAACAAGGTGTCTTTCTCTTCTTGAGTAGCTGGGTCATTATTTCTGGAAAGATACATTGTTGTTGAGTTTTTTTTGGCTTTTAGAGCACCAGAAGACGAGTGCCTTTAAATGATCATGACCATTATATTCAAAGAAGGAAGACAGCTCTACATCTGATATTTCAGATTGTTCTTATACTACAAGCTTTAAAGCTTCTTTTTTTTTTTACAATACATTGCCAATATGTGTTTATTGCTGGCATTTATGTTCCCCCAATATTCAATAGAGTTGCAGTCTCATCTTTACAACGGAAAGTGTGTTATTTTCTTGTAGTCATGTAAAATGTTTTCAAAGTTGTTGATGTAACTTTCAAATTACACTTCTTCCAATCTTGGGCCTGTCTAATCGTGTAAGTGTCGAATGTTGTTTTTGTCATAAGCGATTCCATATTTGTTAAAATTACTAACTAAAACCATGGTTTTATGAAAATAGCACGATGCCCCACATTGCTAAAGCGCACAAAATACGACATCCTTCAGATGTCTTTGCAGTAAAGCATAGTTATCATCATGATAAATGATCATTGTGTTAAAGTTAAGCGCAGCTGATGGAGTCTGAAAGCTGTATTTTATGTGACAGACGTTTTTTTTCAAAGAAGAGGGCATTCGAGGATCAGGGCCTCAGTTACTTGACCATCATAGGAGAGGAGAGAAGAGCTATTGAGAGGCACACAACTTTAAAGTCTTGTTTGAAACAAGATTGAGGTATTTCTTCTCTGGTGCAGTTGGTTGGGGATTTCTCTGTATGCCACTCTACAGGCTAAATTCCACCAGTGTTAGTAACCCTGTGGACACACTCCCTGCATGGTCTTTTCTGCCATCTACAGTCACACGGAGGAAACTACAATAATATCTTGACTGGAGGTTTTGACCAAGGGGGATCACCTTCCACCGTTTGGCCTTGTGGGTCTATGGGAGCCCCAATACCAATACAGAACCAGATTGTAAGGCATCTCCATGTTGCAGATGTAAAAGCTGTGGAGGATGGGAGGATGGGGTACAGGTTTGTGATTGCCAATGTGAGCCAATACATTTAGCTGCGTCCACTCTTTAATATCAGATAAAATAGAAAGACCATTGTTTGGTTATTGTTATGAAATACCACATGGTTTGGAAGCTATTGGAAAAATAAACATATAAAATATAAGGTGGACTAAAATGTTAGACAATGCTGCATTGATTAGGATTCATTTATAAAATTATATGGAAGCAATTGGAAACACTCAAGAAGTTTTCCACCAAAAACATCAATACAGTTTTGCATTGATTTGTTAGAGAACATTGGTTTTTAAAGGCAATACATTGTCGACTCAATTCATTGACATGGATTTTACAACAATTCTATCTCACCAAATTAGGTAGATCTGGTTGATTTTACATGGAGTAGGCTATTATTTGAAGCATCTTATGGAATGAGTTGTAAATTACAATGCCCCTCCTTCTCTGAACCATAAATGATTTAACATGTTCTTACTTCAGTTCAAACTAATAATTCCTCTAAAGACTGTGAACTTGAACTCCCTTTAATTTCTCACCATGTTTCATTCTGTTGCGGATGCTTAGTAAATGCGCACCCTCACTGTCTGCAGCACTGTAGCTTTAAGGTTGGGAAACTACAACACGTGGATTTCGGCACAGTTACGCCCCGGCGTTTTTACTGATTCAAGAGTCACTGGTGGAAACGAGGAACTCGTAAGTAACCAAATAATACTATGTAATCCAAAAAATATTATTTATAAGATGTGTTACAGTTTTAAATCAACTTTATTGAGAAACCATTTGAATTGAACTGCCTGCGATATAAAGTACGCATGCGCAGTGCCATGCACCGGGGCAGGACCATTTCAAAGATAGTGTACAGCGAGGGAGTTCAAAACGACAACACAACCCTAAAGTTTCGGTTTATTGTGTTAACGCATGCTTAAATTGCTAACGTTTGTGCTCGTTTCACTATCTTATCTCACTACACTTACTTTAGCACCGCGGCATAAAGACCCATTTCATTTCAGACCTCACTAGATAAAGCTAACTAGTTGAATGGTGAAACTTTACGAAGCAACCGGAGAGAGGATTAACTCCCAGTGAACCTTACAGAGAAACAATTATGTGTTTGTGTCAGGTAAAATATGATTTACTGCTACCACTATGAATAAAAGGTGGTTGGAGGAAAGGTTAGCTGCATTTGTAGCGTGTGTGTAGCAAGCAATGCAGCTTCGATCCTACAGTCAAGCGAGTAATAATAGCCAAAACATATCACAAACTGAAGTATTTAGGAAAAGGATAGCCATAACTTTTGCAGGCAGCTAAAACAAACAACTATCACAGATGTTACGATACATAAACCATTCACATAGAATACAACGTAAACTACTGTGAGTAAGCACTGTCAATAGCCTATAAGTAATTCGCTATCACAATAACGCCTTGCTTAAAAAAACCTGCAGATAAGAAAGTGGTCAGAACAGTGAAGCCTATAATAATAGAGGATAGATCATTATTATGGTCTAAATATTTACAGCTTACATTTTGGACTAATATTATCTTCTTATATCATTGTCAATGGTACACTCTGTACAGCTCCTTTAAAAAAAGAAATGTTATAATGTTTTTGTTTGTTTATTATGTTACTGTAGGCTACTACTCTGCTTCTGGCTTCAATTTTCATCTTGCATAGATCAGTAGTTCTTTGAATAATGGGATATACCATGTAGGCTACAGACACATGTCTTATCTAGCCTCTAAGAATAAAGTGTTTGGAATTGAGTTGAATCACAAACTGAATTGTTATTTGGTTATGTTATAGACCTCTTGGCATTTGGGCGGTATCTTCACATTTGACCTAAAAGGGAAAGCAAAGGGAAATTGACAGCCTGGCATTGAAACAGGTAGATGTACACAGTAAAAGCAGTTCTTCCTTTTCTGAAATTGATTCTATTCTGATGTCTTTGTTTTCATTGTTACATCACAGAGAATATGGACTACCTGCCGGATGACAACTCCAGGTACAACGACGTTGACTACTGGGATGAAAGATACAAGACGGAGCAGAGTTTTGACTGGTTGGGCTGCTTTTCCAAATTCAAGCACCTTCTGGAAAAACACGTCAAGCAAGAAGACTCTATACTAATACTTGGTGAGTGGCTTTGTTATTCTGATTGTATGAGGTACAAAGTGTATACATCACTCTAAATCCTTCTGGACTACTGTCACCACTTTGGGGTTTCCCTGTTAGAGTCAAGCTAATAGCTGTTGTTGCTCTGAGCCCTCTTCCTGTCGTCTCTCTTGGTTCTGGTGTCAAAGGAAAAAGTGTCCGTGACCGTCTGTCATGAGAGTTGAATTAATTTAGTATGGCTGTCAATGCTGTCATTAGCATCACTATAATTAAAAAAAAAACTCCTAGGCAGCCATTGATATAGACTCTTCCTTCTGGTTGGTGTAGTAGAAAAGGCCGTAGTACTTTTATTTCTATAAAGTATTTACTGATTTGACACCTGTACTGTATGTGTTATTATCTAAAAATACGAATTTCTGTTGGCAATGCATCACCAGATTTATTATGAGCCATAATCATAATAATTGTTTGTTAGATATGTTGCCTGACATGAAAACTTGTTTATGTGTTAAACACATTTTGTTTGACAAAGTAGCTACACTTTTTACATGCCAATGTTAACTTACTATCTTTACATTTTTGGGAAATGGACAGATGTTTGTAGTCTTTAAAAAAGACACAGTTCAGTCGATACCGAAGAAAATCGTAAACATCAATACTCGTCCCTCTTTATCTTTTGAGACATATTACACTAGATTCTGGTTGCTTAACTGATGTACAAGATGCATTGAAAGAAAAATCCTAGTATATCCTTTGTGGTATATAATCATACAACATATTCTGTATTCTCTCTGTGAAGGGAAGATGAGCTTAGTTTGCCATAATCTTTTAGCAAAGCGACAATTTATTGCTCAAGAAAGTTGGGCTTTGGAGTGAAATTTCCCAACTTGTCCACAAGGTGTCCTCAATCCCTTACAAATAGAATCAGTTCTGGAGCACCAAGCATTACCTGCAGTACCTGATTCTAAAAGACCCTGCTGCTCAGTAATACATGTGAAGCAGGAACACGGTGTTGTGACTGCTAAACATAGAGTAGACCTGTATGTGAATTGAGCTAAATCTAAAGCAATGGGCTTAAGAGCTAAAAGCTGGTGGATTGATTTAGATATACAAATGTATCTCTTCATCATTTCTATATTAAATATTGATTTGCCCAGTGATGATTCTAAAGAGTGTGCTGCTTTAGAGCTGTTCATTACAGTGATTTGTTTTATTTATTATTTCGTGATCAAAAGAACACAAGCTTTCAAATGATGAAAAACTGATTTTGGATGTTTCAAATAAATCTTTTTCAGTAACATGTTTTTTTGTTCATCATCAGGATGAGCTATACACAGATGTATTTACTCTTACAGCTTTCAAAGCTTTTGTTGTAACTGTAATACCTGAACAGAAATATAGAGGGATTTGGTGGTCTATTTTGTTCTCCCAATGTGAGCCATGTTTATGGCACGTGAGTTTGTGTGTGTCAGAAATGTGTGTGTTTTGAGATCTTTACTCATCAAAACCTCCGTGTTTTACTATGTAATTCCTGTTTAAAACTACAGTATACAGACAACTTAATTATAGCTGGAGATCTTTTTTTTAATTTAGCCACGCTTGTCAAAACAACGTGAGGAGTATGACATACAGACCCTAACCCTAACCCTGACGGACAGAGCCTCACTTTTTCAGTGTGCGTCATAGGCACACCTACAGCACAGGCGTGAGTGGGCTCAGACACTCTGGAGTCTGATATATAAAATATCTTCTCTTGCCTCTCTCCTGCGTTGCACTGCAGCAGGCAACACCAGTGCACACCGCTTTCTGCACACTGATATAAACCAATTAGAAGCCAATATATCGCACCCCTCCTGGAGGACTTGGAGGACACATGCACAGATAGGCAGTTACATCAGGGGGCCCACTGTGAAGATGTGTACATCCTCACGTGTAGCAAAGGCATGAGGAGCTCTTAAAAGCACTTAGATATCACCACGCTTGATTAAAGGCTTGCCACGGTTGTGCACGTTTCCCTGCTACCCTCACTTGTCAAATCGATAAATCCAGAGGGACTATTTTCTCGTTAAAATGACACAATAAATTACCATCACTATAGCAGGACCGAGGCATAATTTGGCAGAGAGGAGGGAAGACGTAAAGGAAGAATTGAGGCGCCACAGTGCGAAAGGAGAGATGGAAGTGAGGTAAATAACTAATCAGGTTTGGGCCACTCAACTGTCTCAGATGGAGGTCACTTCCATTAAGACAATCTGTACAGCACTGATAGGAAGATATAAGGGAGGGAGGAGGGCTTGGATGAGGACAGCTGGAGCCCTGCATGATGATGACCATTTTGACGTCTTTCTCCTTCCTCGGTTTATACCTGTATTTGTCATAAATGTTTCTTTCAGTTTCATGCATGTATATTGTCAAAATCCTATTTTTACCTGTTCTGTCCTCGTCCCCCGCCTTATTTACACCTGCTTTTTCTCAAGACAGTCAGCATTCGGTGACCCTCTTCTGCCTCTCTGTAAGCCTCTGTCCTTGTCATGAACTCTCAGGATTATGTTATAGTCTTGAAGTTAGGATTGATCCTGCTGTCTCTGTATGGAGTTGTGATAATCTGAAATAAACCTAAATAAAGTGACTTTCATTATCCGAGCATGCATGATTAAACATTAGTGGGATCTCTTCGGTTTTATGTTTGGATCAATAGAGATTGTGGCATTACTGAATCCATTTTGGTCACTGACCAACTTGATGCTGGCATTAGGATCATAGTAATTCTACAAGACTATGATTGATATTATTCTTGGTTTATTCAAAGCCTGATATAAATATATTACTTGTTGTCCAAAATCTGGTAATTGAGCCACCCGATAGTACGTGATCTCATGTTTCTTCATGATCATACATTTGGGCATCATAAGTATCTATTTAGGACCTGTTTTATGTTTTCAGTTTGGATTTACAGATACAGTTCTGATTCACTCTATCTTGTCCTCATGTGTTCGACAGTGAACTTGTTAGAATAATGTTTTTTTTTATATACCTGCTTTTACAAAAGCACTGGAAAAAAACGCTAACTGTGTTTTTTGAGTACATGCCGTATTGATCTGCTAGTCCCTTATGACTAAGAGGTAGTCAAATCATTCATAATAGCACATCCAGTTTTGAAGCTGCACTGCCCACTCAGACTCCCACTTTTCCACAATGGCATGAGGTCAGTGTTGTCTCTGCCTTTAAAATGATTTAGAGTTGCTTATTTAGAGGGCAGTATCATTTATTGGCATAGTAATATGAAGAACCAAGGGTAAACGTGCATGTAAATGTACAGAAATATGGAAGTAAGAGGGGTTATCAATAGGCCCACAGTTATAAAACACGTGTTTGTGCAACAAAACGTCACCTGCACATTCCAGTTTTGAGTTGGAATGTAAACTCCAGTATTGATGATAATGGAATGTTATTATAAAATCACTTTGTGTGTCACATATGGCATTATAATGTGACATAACAATGCTCGGTACGGAGTAAAGGCCCGGGGGGATGTGTGTCACTGCATTGCGTCAAGCTTTGCCTGACCCTCCTCGTAACCTGTGGGCAACATTACGGAGCATTAGCGATGATCACCTCACACACCGTCTAGTTCCCGCCTGACACACAGCCACCGCTCTTTCTTCCTCGTTCTTTTATGGCTTGCTTCAGGCTGCTGCCAGTGATGTAATGACCCCACGTCTCTCAGTGGTCAGCGCTCATGCCTCGCTCCCTAAGGCGAGGGGTGATGATGTAATTGCTCTGTTCTTCTGCACTGAGTGGAGCTGAGGTGTGTGAGTGTGTGTAAGTATGTGTGTGTGCTGGTTTCCTGGGAGTACCGTACTGCATACCATGTTCCTTCCATGTTTACATCAGTGCACCAGGTTTAGAGGGCATGTTGCAAAATCTCCACAGGCACACCAAGAACACGTGTTTTCTGTGGACCAAAGCACTTCTAAAACATGTTTTTGGTGTGTCTTGCCATCAGTGCACACATTTCAGAATCAGATTTTTTTTTTCTAAGTGCTTGGTCATGTCAAATAAGTAATTCAGAAGGATAGCAAATGAAGCTTTCTCAGAACAAAACGCATACAGACACATGCACAAAATGTTCTGTACAGTCTGTATTTAAAAAAATGTATTTAATACTTAACCACTGATGGCTTCATCTGTATGTTTTCTTAATGTAAGGTGAAGTCATTGGTTTGTTGCATAGGAGAGGCTTATAGCCTGTGCTGCCCGCTGGGTATTATTCAGTTGTTTTGGTAGCGATTTTCTAACTGCGTGCATGAATTGATCCATATTTTGTTCTTGACATCTTTTAATTTACATAGTCCACTATTCTTTTTATATTTAAGACAAATGATTAACAGAGAGTATAAATTGATAATGAAAATCCTTTTGAGTGCCGCCCCACTGTGCATGTAATAGACTTATAGGGTGTGTTTTACCCTCCCTAAATATCCTGCACTGCTGCTTCTATTTAGCTCACCCACTCACATCAGTGCCCAGTCCCTTTGGGCTCCTCCAGCTCCTGAGGGTGATGTTAACGGTGTTTATTGGCAGAGGAATAGTGAAACACCATGAGTGTGACTGGTCAGTCAGCTGTTGTGTAACTATGTATGGCCCAGTGCCTTGACAACAATGACATTATGCCTTTTTATAAGGAACATTACCGCATGCTAGCAACAATTTAAAGTCTCTCCTCCGTCACTGACCCGCTCTGCCTCTTGCACGCACCATCTTGCTCATTCATTCCTCACACCCTGCCCTTCTCCCCCCTGCCCCTCCCTCACGGCCTTTCATCACCTCCTGATGCTCTCTCACGTCCTCTATTTCATCCTCGATGTCTCCCCTCTCTTTTTCCTCGACCATTGCCTCACTTATGCCTCCACTGCCCTCCCCTCTAACTTCTTGTCAGTATTTGGTATCAAAAATGTCCACCGGTGTGTCAGGAATCAGTCCATCTATATATAGATGGAGCGGAGGTGTTTACTGTGTGG